ATCTGTCCATACACAGTGACCCACTGGTGACCAAGCTGGACTTTGATAAAGAGCCCACCCCGGGACCCAAACACTACCCAGCACCCGATGACATTCGAGAGCCTCTGGCGCAGAATAAGATGCCCAACAGGGAGGCAGTACAGGTACAGTGTACGAGGAGTCACAAGTATGAGTTGATAAGGGAGCAGTGAACTCATGTCATTACAGAACAGCTGCTGGTCTCCTTTCGACTGTTCACTCTGGTTAAAATGACGTCTTGTTCCTGCAGAGGAATGAAGTGGTGCTGTGTTGTGCATCAGACAGCAGCCGCACAAGTGAATTCTCTTGCCTTTTTGCCCAGATCCCCAAACAAAAAGAAGATCACTTAACATCTTTTGACTACAGTCCTCTACTAAAATACAGTGTTAGCCATACTTTAATTAAAATAAGACCTGCACTGACTAATGTGCACCTCACTATCGTTGTTGCCTGTGGTGATCAGAAGATCTGTGTGTAACTAAAAAACTCTTAGCTGAGGCACTTTTCCACTAGACTAGTCTTATTTTTAATGTAGTTCATTAAAATTAAATCTGTTGCTGGTCCTTCAGTATAAATTTGTCTCTGCAGATAAATACAGTTGTTTTATTGTATCAGCATGCATGCAGACAGTGACACAAGATATTAGGGATGTAACGATATCCGTGATATTGTAATAGATTCTTGATACCGCTGTGGGACTGTGACAGTATCTACTAGGATATTACAACTGAGTATTTCAACAGTATAACTGCGTTAAGGTTGCAGAATTTGAAACTGACATAGTGGATCCTTCATTGTCGACTTTTAGAGCTGTTGTGTAGCAGCATTTAATTTTTCCCGTTTCAAGAAATTACAAGCGGAAAGGCAATTGACAAATGCTGAACAATTTGCAAATACTGCCAGACAAAGGCGATACTTGCCTCGTTTAGGACTGAGACAGTCCTGGATATAATTCACAGAAACAGTCAGGACATGGCTGTGCGCTACATTTTAATGGAGGTGGGCAAACAAAGTGTACACCCATACGCAAAATCAACCACTTAGTAACCACAGGTGAAAAAGTAGGCCATGATGTTTGAAAAACGCCTCGAGTAAGACACGCATCTCACCTTTATGTGGCTTATCCTATTTTGGCCTCTTGTTCTGGTGCCCCAAGCAGCAGTTTGCTCACTACTGCCCAAACAGAGGAGGCACTAAAAGACTGACACTCCACTGTGAGTGTGACTTGTTTTATTTACAAGATCCAGCTACTGCAATAATATAATATATATTATCTCATAAAGGACTGCTAATGAATTTTCATATATATTTTTTCTTTATTAATATCATGGTAAATATCCTATTGTGGACTTTATATCGTGACAGTATCATGAGTTTTTGGTATTGTTACATCCCCTACAATATATTGTTTGTTTCACAGACTCAGGTGCTACACACAACATACAATACTATATGATATAAAAGGAGCTCTTACTATATAGTGTTTCTTAAAGGTCAAAGTGTTGTTGCAAATATTATTTACATAGCTGATTTTGACTTTTTTTCTTTTTAAGTTGACCCAAACCTTAACAGTTTGACTAATTGACTGCTTTGCTTGTTTTTTCATATTTCACATTTATTCACTTGGCTCCTCCTGCTTTGTGTTCTGTTTGTGCAGGATGCACTCTCCTCATTTGACTTCTTGAACAAGAGAAACAGCATGGCAGTGAAACCAGACCTGGACAGAGAGGTGGAGCAAGAGATCCAGCATCCAGACCTGGAGCTCACCGCCTTCCAGAAAGACACAGTGATAAGGTACAAGAGCTGTGTGCTTTGACGTGCTATAGCTGTGGTGGTTCATGTGTTTGAATTTCATTGTCACACTGCAAAAGAATAACTTTTTTTTTCTTGTTAGTTTTTATTCAGAGCATTAGCTCTATGCAGGTCAGTCTACCTAATGCATAGTTAATTTAAAAACCCATCTCGTCTCAGGGAAGAAGAGCAGTTCCAGTTCAGTCTCCAAGACTTTAAATGTGTGGCAGTCCTTGGACGTGGTCACTTTGGAAAGGTACTTTTCATTTGATTGTCCAGTGTAGCGCTGCATCTGAAAACTGTTATCATTGACTGATTAGTCTGTCTGACAGGGTTCTTTGAGTTCTGGAAAACCCAGAATTTTTTAAAACCACTTTTCCAGTCATGGAAAAGTCATGGAAATTGAGATAAATTGTAGAGTGTCCTGGAAAAACATTTTATCGTCCTGGAAAATAATTTTTGTATTTTTCTTTTGCTGAGAGCAAACTGTCAGATCTCAGTTTGAGCTGGCAGCTGATTTATAGGCTGTTTTTTGTAATATTTTTGTATGCTCTGAATACCCTAAGCCCCATTGGCTTTTAAATGTAGCACATCAGGTTGGTGAAGATGGTGTGAATAAAATAAACTGGACAGATAAAATCACAATGGAAACGTAGCCAGACAGCCAGGGAGTCTAAGTGGCTTGATAGTTGAAATGTAAACATTAACAGCTGTTGGCTAGTAATGAGTTTTACCTTTAAACATGTTTAAATTGATTGCTCCACCACTTGCAGAATTATTGTTTAATGTTAGTCGGCTGGCTTTTTAACAAAACGCGATCAGAAATAGAAATAGACATTCAGCCGGACTAAGCCAAGAGCCTTTCTCGCAGGACATGGTATATTTGAGGGTCAAGTGCATTCTTGAGTTGAATTGGAGTCAAAAATAATACTCCTTTTGAAGATATAAGTCAAATCTCAACTCATGAACATGAAACCTATCTTCTGTAGGCACTTCCCAAGGATATCCTTATCTGCAGTGTCCATTGTCAGTAAACCTACACAAATCCATTTAGCATTTATAGGAAAAAAGACAAACTCTTCTTGAATGTTGCTGTTTGTTATTGCTTATGTTGTTAGAGTCAAGTCAGATTGCTTTTTTTCCTTCGGTTATGCTAGAGACTGAACATCTGCGTGTGTGTTTGGGAGAGTGCGGCAGTCACAATAATCAATTGGTCATAAAGCACCTAAAGACTAGTTATACAGATAAAGTATCATCATAGATTAATGTTTATGATTTAAGAGACTTCCACACAGAGGAACTTGTTAGTCTAGGATTTGACATACGCCATTGAAAATGTCCTGGAAAATTATTTCTTGAATAGAGTGGGAACCCTGGTTTGTTGTTTTCTTCAATTAAGTATTTAAAAAAATGCTCAGAGCTGAAGCTGACGTCTTTAAATAGCTTGTTACATCTGAGAGATGACCCACCACCCAGAGATTTAAACTTTTGTTGTTTCTGGAGCTGCAGCCTGGAAATGTTTGGAATTTTTGTTCAAATATTACTTGAATGATGAGTTGATTATAAAAATATGTGCCAGTTGATCTTCTGTTGACTGACTGATTAATGAATCAATCTATTTAGCTGTAGTAGTCCAACAGAAGGAAGCAGCAGGAAGCTGAAATGATGTGCATGTCCTTGGCAGGTATTGTTGGCAGAATACAAAAGCACAGGAGAGATGTTTGCTATCAAAGCTCTGAAGAAAGGAGACATCGTGGCTCGTGATGAAGTGGACAGGTAAACATTTTAAACTAGTGGCTCTCACCAGCATCCTCAATTCTTTGTATTGCAGAAGTGTCAAACTAAAATTGAAAAATTTTTATTTTGCTGAAAGTCATTGTGACATTCATTAAGTACAGATTTGATCTTCCTGTGTTGCTGTGACTCACTTGATCTTTTCTCTTATTCCAGCCTGATGTGTGAGAAGAGGATTTTTGAGACGGTCAACAATGTCCGCCACCCGTTCCTGGTCAACCTGTTCGCGTGCTTCCAGACACAAGAGCACGTTTGTTTCGTGATGGAGTACGCAGCAGGAGGCGATTTGATGATGCATATCCATGCTGACGTTTTCTCTGAGCCCAGGGCCATGTGAGTGACCAGAGCTTTCACTCTGGAGCAATCAGCCATGTCTGCACACAAGTACAAATTCCCACTGTCATTCATCTTATGATGAATGGTTTCAGAGACTATTTTGATTTCTTACCTCCCCCAGTTTACCAGATTTGTCTGGTCAGCTCTTGGGTGCCTTCATCATTCATTCATTGTGTTTGACATCATGGGGAGTGTTAGAAGAAATTCTGAAAGAACTAGTTTTGACACAGTATAAAAACTGTCCTCCTTTGTGTACTACTGTGTTTCCTCTGCATGAATGGTGCTGGCAGATTAGGTTGATTTCCTTCCTGGTTTCTTCTTGTTCTCAAGTAAACCTCATGTAACCTAATCTACTGTGTGTTTTGCCCCACTGCAGATTTTATGCAGCCTGTGTCGTATTGGGATTACAGTACTTACACGACCATAAGATTGTGTACAGGTAAAAAGGGAGTCCTTTTAATAGCAAGAATACATTTCCATAGGAAGCATTAAGTTCCAAAAATAATATTTCATGTGTTTGTTTTAAATGTGCAGAGATTTGAAGCTGGACAACCTGCTCCTTGATACAGAGGGCTATGTAAAGATTGCTGACTTTGGACTTTGTAAAGAAGGTAAAATGGGATTTTGAAGGGTTAGAATTGTGGATAACACAAGTAAACACATCATGCAGTTTTTAAATGAAGGTTTTTATTATTAAGGGAAAACAAAATACAAAACTATATAGCCCTGTGTGAACAAGTGTTCACCCCCCTGTCAAAACATAACTTATCTCTGGTTTATCACACCTGAGTTCAATTTCTCTAGCCACACCCAGGCCTGATTACTGCCACACCTGTTCACAATCAAGAAATCACTTAAATAGGACCTGCCTGACAAAGTGAAGTAGACCAAAAGATCCTCAAAAGCTAGACATCATGCCGAGATCCAAAGAAATTCAAAACCAAATGAGAAAGAGAATAATTGAGCTCTATCAGTTTGGAAAAGGTTATAAAGCCATTTCTAAAGCTTTGGGACTGCAGCGAACCACAGTGAGAGCCATTATCCACAAATGGCGAAAACATGGAACAGTGGAGAACCTTCCCAGGAGTGGCCGGCCGACCCAAATTACCCCAAGAGCGCAGCGACAACTCATCCAAGAGGTCACAAAAGACCCCACAACAACATCCAAAGAACTGCAGGCCTCACTTGCCTCAGTTAAGGTGAGTGTTCATGACTCCACCATAAGAAAGAGACTGGGCAAAAATGGTTTGCATGGCAGAGTTCCAAGACGAAAACCACTGCTGAGCCAAAAGAACATAAAGGGCCGTCTCAGTTTTGCCAGAAAACATCTTGATGATCCCCAAGACTTTTGGGATAATACTCTGTGGACAGACGAGACAAAAGTTGAACTTTTTGGAAGGTGTGTGTCCCATTATGTGTGGCGTAAAAGTAACACTGCATTTCAGAAAAAGAACATCATACCAACAGTAAAATATGGTGGTGGTTGTGTGATGGTCTGGGGCTGTTTTGCTGCTTCAGGCCCTGGAAGACATGCTGTGATAAGTGGAACCATGAATTCTGCTGTGTACCAAAATATCCTGAAGGAGAATGTCCGGCCATCCGTTTGTGACCTCAAGCTGAAGCGAACTTGGGTTCTGCAGCAGGACAATGATCCAAAGCACACCAGCAAGTCCACTTCTGAATGGCTGAAGAAAAACAAAATGAAGACTTTGGAGTGGCCTAGTCAAAGTCCTGACCTGAATCCAATTGAGATGCTGTGGCATGACCTTAAAAAGGCGGTTCATGCCCGAAAACCCTCCAATGTGGCTGACTTACAACCATTCTGCCAAGATGAGTGGGCCAAAATTCCTCCACAGCGCTGTGGCAGACTCATGGCAAGTTATCGAAAACGCTTGATTGCAGTTGTTGCTGCTAAGGGTGGCCCAACCAGTTATTAGGTTTAGGGGGCAAACACTTATTCACACAGGGTTTTGTAGTTTTGGATTTTGTTTTCCCTTAATAATAAAAACCTTCATTTAAAAACTGCATGATGTGTTTACTTGTGTTATCTTTGACTAATATTTAAATTTGTTTGATGTGACAAACATGCAAAAAGATAAGGAATCCGTAAGGAGGCAAAAACTTTTTCACACCACTGTATGTACCATATGGGGACAGTGTCCTCCTGGTTGTGAACTTTGTTGACATAAGCTGTCTCTAAAGGGCAAAAATGCCCCAAAACAATAATCAGACCATTAGCTCAAAACATACTGTATCAATATCATGTAGCTTCATTATCAATGTGCTTTACTGTCAAAAAAAGACAGTTCTGAGTGTTCTCAACATATCAGCTGTTAAAATGGCCAAACAAGGATTTAAAGGACAGATAGTGATTTGTTCTGGAGTCCGGTTGGGCCTTTATTGAACCTCATGCTTGCTGCTTTCAGGGATGGGTTTCAGGGACCGCACCAGCACATTCTGTGGGACACCAGAGTTTTTAGCTCCCGAGGTTTTGACTGAAACATCGTATACCCGTGCTGTGGACTGGTGGGGACTGGGCGTCCTTATCTTTGAGATGTTGGTTGGAGAGGTGAGTGAGTGTTTCCTCAACAGCACTGTACATTATTTCTGTTGAACCACTCACAAACATGCAGTAACTGTATTTATTGCACATGGTCGCACTATTTGACTCATATAATCCTCTGAGATAAGGGACTGCTTCATCTCTTTCGTCTTGGCACATCTCTTGTAGTCTCCCTTCCCTGGTGATGATGAGGAGGAGGTGTTTGACAGCATTGTCAACGATGAAGTTCGCTACCCACGGTTTCTCTCGACCGAGGCCATTTCCATCATGAGGAGGGTGTGTAGACAGATGAGAACGAAGCAGTCGTTCTTGTATGACTGAACTGAAATTAACGGAGTAATGAAAGTGCAGCCTCTGCTTGTATTTACCTCCTGATGAATCCTCTGTGTGCACAGTAGTAGAGAACCAGTAAATGCCCAGTGTGTGTTGCTACTAGCATGTCAGTGAAACATTTACTGCATTTTATTATTCTTGTGCTTAGCTTTTAAGGAGGAGTCCAGAGCGACGTCTTGGAGCAGGAGAGAGGGATGCAGAGGAGGTCAAGAAACATCTCTTCTTCAGGGTATGGGACAGAAGAACAGTTAGCACTGGTAATGTTCTCATTTAAAACATTAATACAGTGTTACCTTCCCTGTTTATTTCTTGATAGAATATGGATTGGAACGGACTATTAGCCAAGAAGGTGAAGCCGCCGTTCGTGCCGACCATCCAGGGCGCCAACGACGTCAGCAACTTCGATGATGAATTTACCTCAGAGGCTCCCATCTTAACCCCACCCAGGGAACCCAGAGCGTTGAGCTCTGAGGAGCAGAACATGTTCTCTGACTTTGATTACATCGCCGACTGGTGTTAGCTTCACCTGACGCCCTTCCAAACACACACACACACACACTGTGAAGCAGCTGACGTAGCTCTGACTGTAGCTCACATCATGTTAAATCTCTCCTCTTCCTACCCAACATGTGGAGGAGGAGCAGTGGCTCCCGAGCGTCTGGGCAAAACTGTGCCATTGAGAAGAAAGTTCTGACTCCTCCTGAGGACACCTGAATAATTTTTTTAATCCATGAAGAACATTTTTTTAAGAAAAGGAAAAAAGAAACTTGTTGGAGAGTGAAGGAGGAGAGGTGCTCTGTCCTCCTGTACATGTAGTCACGTTTGTCGTCTGACCACTGAGAATGTGTTTCATGAACTCTGAGAAGGCGGCAACATCACAATCAGTTATTCAGTGTCACTGTCTTAAGTTTGCTCTGTACAGGTCATATTCAATCATATTTTATTGTTGTTTTCCTTTCTTTATTTGCAAAGCCCTCGCCACAGCTTAAGGACATTTGACACTTCTACCACAATCATGTCTGAAATTGGCGTTCAGTGAATTTAAAACGCTCAATCATCGGTGAACAGGCTGCAGCAAACATCTTGGCTGCTGCTGCTGCTGCTGCTGCTTCTTGTCTTGGAAACCGAGCAAGACTCTTCACACTGTAGGGGCCCGGTCCTTGTCCACAACCAGGCTTCACACTTTTTTCCCGCGTCGTTCTACTCACTTGAAGTTTGTATGTGTCCACACAAGAGCCCATATGATAATAATACTCATCAGTATAAAGCAGCAGTATTAGCAACAGTATTAAACACTACATGAGATTTAAAATTACCACTCAGTTTTATTTGGAAGTTCTGTGTCACAAATTGTCCAGAAGTAATGGAGAAAACTTTAAATATTTCTTTGTTGCCCTCTAGTGGCTCTGCAGCTGTCAACAGCTGAACTCAGCTCTGAACGTACTGCAATGCACTGCAGTATCTGTTTGAGCAATAAAATAAAACTTCAACATTAAATGAATTGTCAGAGCTGAGTTCAGTTAGATTTCAGTTTTCTTTGTGTTTTTATTCCTTAGTAAATGGGCAGCTGTGTTAAACCTGACAGCATTTTTCTGTTTATCTCTGTGAAAGTAAAAAGGCTACAGTGAGTCACACAGTTAGGCTCCACTACCAAATCCATCCTGTCCCTCTTGAAGCTGCAAAGTCTTTATGGTTTTAAAAAAGAAAAAAAGTCCGACTGGACTGAACATAACCAGGATGACCGACTAAATGTGTTGTGCAACAAGCCACAAGACAAGGGCTGAGCTTGAACCCAGTTATTTTAGGTCTTGGTCTAAATGATGAAACTGTTTGAGCTGGCACATTCTATAGAGCTGACGACTTGATCCGTGTGCAAGTTAAATAGAAAATCGACTTGACTGTGGCTGACCAGTTGACAAACACTTCAGGGGAGGGCAGGGTATGTTATATACAGTATGTATGTACACACTTAAGCTGAAAGCACTAATTTTATCAATAGTTTTAACTATCAACATTTCTAAATGGTGAAAATAGATTGTACAAAGTCTTTTTTTTTTATTTTTTATTCCTTGCTCCTGCATGTTGTCGCCAGAACAGATGAGAACTTTATGGATGGTACACCAATACTTGAGTCACATCTGTTGCTGTTCACTCTGGTGTTAAAAAAAAAGGTATTTCAGCAGTCACTGATTGTTGCCTATCATGAATGCACAAATTAAACATTTGTAATAGTGGATTTATTTGTAGCCCTGACATTGAATACATGCTAATGGTTTACTCTGGGTACTTAGTTATCTTTGTATTCGCTCTGGAAACTTTCACTTTGTGGAAGCGATGATCTGGTTCACAAAGATGTTGGAGTTTTCATTCCGTTGTAGAAATTGAATCTATAAAAGACCAGTACAATGAAGTTTATGTAAACAAATGTTTAATGTTGTTCAAACCATGAGCACTATGCTTTAATGAAAATCATTTTTAAATTACTTGGAACAGTTCAAACCAACTAACAAAATAGAACCTGGTCGTTTTTCTACAAAAACAACATTTTATGTATACAGTATGAAAGCCGCAGAAAATTGCAAGCATCAATTACGTTTCCCCCACTGGGACATATATACATAATAAAGTATATACACGCAAATGAAATACTGTTAAGTACAGTCTGCAAGCGGCTTGTGTAAGCCCTGGAATGTGTGTGTTTTATTTCCTATGAATGTCTCAGTAAAGGTTTGTAGTCTTAGAAAGAACTAGAGAAAGCTTCAAAATCCAATACAAATAAAATAACAAATACAATCGTAAGCACAGCAGAAAAATATCACTGTGTCGGGGACGTCTTCACAGTTGGGGCAGCTTGTCGACAGGTGTGTCGAATTTGAAGTCTGGAGGGAAAAGTTCAGCAGCTCGTGGGTAGATGAGCCGATACGACTGTCTGATTGTAACATCTGCGACACCGGCGATATCTCCGATTTCTGTGGGAGAGATAGTTGGAATGTCTGACCTGCAATAAACCTGCCACATACAGAGTCTGACACCTGATGCATTTTCAACAATAACGCTGAGAAACTGTACCTCAACAATGCAAAGAAAATCTGACAGATGCCAAAGGCCCCTGAATAGCATTTAAACAAGAAATAAATGGTTTATAACAGTGTAACTGTACGCAGACCGAGGACATTTTAAGTGTTTATTAATGTACAAGATTTGCCACCAATAACAGCTTCTCAAATGGAACCATTTTATTATACAGCCATTCATTATGAATGGCTATAACACAAACAGTTATCGGTGTCCATGGAAAGAGTTGTAGGCCTAGTTTACAGATGCATTAAAATGTATCTGCTTACAACGTTCTAAGTGTTGTAAACATTTAATTGGTGTCTATATACTGCTTATAAATGACAAACATGACAAAGCTACTCTACCTAATTTCTTTTCTGACTCTAGAGGGTCTAGTTAGACTCAAAACAAACTGACTCCATAAGTTGCACCTAACCGCTCGCTCTCCAAAAGAACATGACCTCTTCGGTCAGTGTTTCAGACTTAGCAGACAAGAGCTCCTCCACAGCTAGCTGTTTGACTATTCACAGTTTGAAAAACATTTCTTAAAACCTTAACTAGGTGGGAGGTGGGGCTGATTCAAGGACCTATATAACAGAAGGGCTGTAGACAGCAGAGAGTTGTGCTTCAACCTGTGTTCTTAAGCTTGATTGTCAACTTTACTACTACAGCATCATCACTCACCTTTCTGGGTCTTCTTCTCTGCAGATGCCTGGGAGGCCATATAAATGGCTGCTGCAGCCACAGAGATGGGGCTCCTGCCGGGCACCAGGTCGAGCTCCACAGCCTTCCTGGCGATGAAGGTGGCGGCCATCTGCACCTGTTTGGGCAGGCTCAGGTTTGAGCAGAAGCGAGACATGAAGTCTCCTGTGGTAATGAGGTCCACGCTGGTCTCCAGCGCCTTCAGGATCAGCTTGAAGCATCTGCCGATTTCCTTCTTAGAGATCCGGGAGACGGCACAGATCTCTGTGGAGGAAATTAGGAGGTCAGGGAAGGATGGAGCGAAGTGAAAGAAAATGGAAACGAACAGTCTGCCCCTGTCAGTTTTTTCCTATCCAGTCCCTAGTGTGACTGTTAGCTAATGCGGCCAATTACCAGCAGCACACTTGAAACCCCAGAGAGAAGCCCCTAAGGAACTGGCTGTGCCCCTTTTCCAGGAAACGCGAGAGCCATTGTCAGAGGATATAGATCAATGTACCACCATCATATACACATAATTTCACTGCACTATCTGAACATGAGCACATGCAGTATGTCGTGAAAGTCAGACAATACAGCACAAAAGAATGCAGTAAGTAAAATTCTGCAAACTAAAATTTTATATCAATTTTCCATTTAAATATGTATTTAACGTACGGCAGGTGTTACGTTTTATTTATGGATCAAAGGCAGAGTAAAATATGAGCGATATGTTAATGTGAAAACACTCATTTCTGACATGGTCCCAAGCTCAAAATCTTACAGGAAGATGAAACAATTTATCCAGACCTTTAAATGTTCTCGGTACACCTTCTTGTCTGCAGGCGATGTAGAGACAGGCCGAAGCAATGGCGTCGTTGGCTCGCCCCTTCAGGCTCTTCTGTTCATAAACCTGCTTGAATAAGTTGTTTGTTCTGTCCTACAGAGAAAAATACATTATTACAGCAACAAATCTTTAGTAAACCTTTAGAAAAGCTGTTCTTTCCAAATTAAACAGCAGATTAAATGGGGTTGTGTTGAAGAACACAAAATAAGAATATTTCTAATCACAAAGTAGGAAATGGTAAAGCTGAGGACTTGTTTAACTTACTATGATGCTCCTTGGCAGGTTGATGCGATCAGCCATGGTGCTGATCTCTTTAAAGGCGTTGAGCATGGCCCGGTCAGAGCTGCTCATGGTCCGCCGGTTCTGGTACTTTGAGTTACCGAACTCGTCAAAACTAGCTGCGCCTGTGCCCTGTGGTGGAAACGGTGGATGTTTATCAGCAAAATTCACTAGAAGTGTATTCCATGAGAAGCCATAGTAACTCCGATGTTACATTTTCTGCCATTCTTCCAATTATCTGAAGTGCAAATATTTACATTTGTTCAATAATGGGCACTAGTGTTGTCAAAAATTAAGAAATTGAAATTTGAAAACGTTTCAATGCTCATTTTCTATAGTATCAATACACCGAGATCAACTGCACTTTCTCACTCACTTCTAGTACTTAAATTAATTAGTTAATTAAGCTAGATGATGTGTTTAAAACAGTATTTGTGATCATCTCAGAGGCTCTTGAACACATGTACTACCTCAAGAAGAATATTGTTTTCATTCATGTGAAAAACATGACAAAACTACAAAAAAAAAAGACCTATTGGTCACATCTACTATAGAAAACCTTTTGTCTTCTTGCAAAAAGAGTAAATTGTCATTGAGTGCGATCCTACTTTTATATTTATTGGATCATATCGAAGTTAGAAATTCCAGTATCATGCACACAACAGATGTGACTGACAATGCTGGGTCCATGTGTCTCTCACCTTGCTGATCATGGTGGTTAGGTCGCCTCCATTGAGCAGTGGGTTCTGGGCGTCTCCCACTCTAGATGGATCTTTGAGGGCTTTCTCGTTAGAAAACGTCCTCCACTCTGAGCCCACGTCGATGACACGGTCACCTGAGGAGAAATGATTGCATTAAGATAAATAGAAAGGGTCGCCACAGTGAATCGTCACACTGACGACTCGCATGTTGACATTTGGCACGTGTTTTACCCCGGATGCCCTTCCTGACCCAATCCCGATTCAAACCTGGGCCGCAGTGGTGAGAGCCCTGCGCCTTAACCACTAGCCTACCAGGGACGGCTGATTGCATTAAGATAAATAAGAATCCTAAATGTGTAGGAAGCTAAAAGAAAGGACAAGATCAATAACACTTAACTTTCTTTTAAACAAAAGCTTAAATTGGTCAATTTGCTGTATGCACCCAATGTTTAAACTTATTACAGTGTAGATTTAATACAGTGTTTCTAATGGTGAGCCACATTTTTCCATGAGACTGCATGATTTTTCGTTGGAGCATCAACACCAGAAATCAAATGTAATTAGCTTTAAATTTAAAATGCATCCAGACTTCATTGGTATAATGGTGCATTTTGGTGTTTACTCTGGACTGACAGATGAAATCTTTTTTCCCCCTTTACAAACATTGTTAAAAACAAAACAGTAGAATCAGTCTTTGAGTTTTGGTTTCAATACTTTCTCAGACTTGACCAGATACTGTGCACACAGACCAAATTCAGTTCATTACAATTTCCTCCTTTGTTTCTTTGTCTGCTTTTGCATTGATGGCTACACGTGTTGCTCTAAACCTAGTTGTTAAATGAATCATCTGCACATACGAACCAATCAGATGGTGTTCTCCTGTCTGTCTGCATTAAATCCCACTGGAATAATTAACCAGAAGATGGTGCAATATTCAGCACTATTGCCCTCAGCAAACACATCTGTGGTTGTCCAAGTCTCACATAACGTCAATACAGTGTTGATCCTTCTATACCATTGTTCTTTGGTTTGTTCGTAGCACTCTTCTGGTTTTACTACTGTGCTGTATTCTCAGTACTGTGGATCTGAATCTAGCTCTCTCAAGTTCTCCACCAACCCTTACTCTCTTCTTCCTCATGTTCTTATCACTGCTATTCACAGGATGTTGAGGCAGTATTACATAACACAATGTGCCATTACATTTGCAGTCATTCACGTGCATTAAATCAAGGACGTACGAATAAAAAAAGTGTGAAGTCTAAACAAGAACATTTTTTTTCTTCCACTTATCAAGACTGTTCTCTGGGAACCATGTAGAAAGCTCAAGGATTACATTTCTGATGTTTTAATGCTGTTAGTCTTTTTTGAAAACCTTTTATCCTTCTTTCTAATATCTAGAGGCAAAGTGACGCTCATCTCCTCAGGGAGTAGGGACAGAGGGTACTTTGGCTTGCATCAGACTTGCTCAGTGCTCAGGGGGGCTCATTACTGGAGAACCCGCTGTTCCCTGCAGCTCTGTCTTATAGAATGCGTCACTTTAAAAGACTTGGTGCTTCTTATCGGCTACTTTTGTGTTTGTATGTCAGATTATTAAGGCACATTAAAATAACAGATGAATGGAAGTGCACAAATATCTTTTTCATTTTAAGTTATCTTCCTATTTTTAAACTGCCCACATTTACAGCTCATTATACAGTAGTTTGATGTTTTTCTAGCTAACTAAACTTCTCTTACATTAGTCCTTTTCAGTACTGCCTATTGTTTAAGCAATAAATTAAAGGGTCAGATCACTTAAATTCTAAAGAACCTTTCCAAGCTTGCATATAACAGCTAATTTTTAAACAAACCGTCCACAGTGACGTGTATGGATTATCCAAAATGGACACTGTCACTGAGAATAAGAGACAGTTTAAAAGAATTCCTCTATTGTACTGGGGTGATGAAAGAAGTCTCAGGCGCAGAGCTCTTAACCTGTAGCCAAAAACAGTACCTGCATGTCAAAATGGAAAAATAGGTTTTTTGGATCTGGGTGAATACAAGATAAACTGATGAATATTTCTAGACAATGTAGCATAACAGAGGAATACAGTACATTTACTGCTGGATTTTCCATAATTTAGTTTGAAATTTAGGAAGCCATGACCTTGTTTAGCCTGTCAACGAAGATGATGTTCATATGCCAAAACATTTTAAATAGTTAAATAGTTTTAAAACCAAACAAACAGGTTCAGGTAGTTCTGTGCTGTGAAATCTGTGAGTTAATTATGTGACTGTGACAGAGTTCAGCTGTGTTCAAGTCAGTATGAAGAAGCAAGTACAGGAAACCAAAACAGAGAGGAAGGATGTGTACTAGCACAGGAAACTCCCCAGTTCAGAAGTTGTAAACGACATACTGACCTACTACAAGGCCGCATTCAGGGCAAATCATGTCCCCTGCTCTGTAGTCCTCCACCAGTATGGCATCGGGGTGGTTGGGACACTGAACTCTGGGAAGAGAGAGAGCCTCTCCGCTAGAGGAGCAGAACAACAGTTAGATGATCAAATAGCTCAAAATTCAAGAAAAAAATGAGAGAGGTTAAGAAACAGAGAGTTCATCTTGCAGTCTGAACACAAACTACATTTTATGGCTACAACGATTACTCATAAGGGGAAAACAAATGAAAAATGGAAAACAACAGCCAAGTTCATTTCCATATCTAGTTCCCCAGGGAAGTGAAATTCAAATTCTTCTGCCTTTTGTTGCTGTGAAGACATGGCTGAACGATTCTTCTTCCACAACACAGTTTACAAAAAGGCCACTTTATGTTACAACAGGTCTATTGATCCACCTGTCAAACCAAACTGGCTGACACTGTGTCAATATTCAGTCTGGATGTAAATCTCAGCAGAAGTTAGTTTAGGAACATGTTTTATTTTCATTACAATTAATCTCCCTGTTATTATCTTAATTGTTTAGTCCATATAATCCCAAAATGGCCCATCCACCAAAATACTTGATCTACAATTATATAAAACAAAAGCTGCAAATCCTCCAATAAAAGAAGTTGAAATCAGACAATATTTGAGATTGTTAGGTAAAATAACAGAAACGAATAATCGCTCAGTAACATTAGCAATAATTAGTGATCTGCCTGTGGACTGATTCATTGACTGACAGATCGTTTCAGCTTTTACCTTGATAACGTACCAGTAACAGACATACTCTGAACCCTGGTCTAAATACAGCGATGACTATAACGATCATATGGCGAAAGCAAAACAGATGATCTCATTAGCTGCGGTTAAATAAGGGGTGGAATTACACACTAACAAGACAAACGTAGTCCCAAGTGACAAAACACCAGATGAGAGGAATGAGGAGCCAACACCCACGATCAGTTAGTGGGCACCGCTGAAGCCACCGCTCGGTGTGCGAAAAAAGACAACGCAGACTAGTTGTACAGGAATTACTGACGTGTTTACAATATCAGGAATGCTGATCCAGCACTGCTCACACGTCACACAGCCCACTACAGTCAGCAAGACACTGAGTTAACGTGTTAGTATAAGTTTCATATTCATAAAACACAAGCTGTATCATGGTGTTACGGGCACAGGAGCTAAAGTGGGGGCAATTTAAGTCTGCAATGCGAGGCGACATTAACGCGATAACAGAGAAGCTACTGAGCGCCAGCACAGGGAGATGACAAAGTAACTGCGATACAATCGGTGACTTCTGGCAACATCTACCCAGCTAGCAAGCCGTTGACGAGCACAATACATTGTACACCGAACGGCACGGACGCGCACTAGCGTTTCCCATCATGCTCAAGTCAATAATTTTCATCAAATAACATTCTGAGAATCACAGATTTTAAAAAGCTGGGGTTTTACAGTTGGTTAAAGCGGCTACGCACCGGCTTGTTGACGCCATGTTACTCCTAAAACGGTCCGTGTGCAAAAAGCCCAACTGCGCGCAGCACCTGTATTTATAACGTTTTCGGTCACGTGTCCCTTAAAGTACGGGAAGCCAAAGAACCCATAACAATTCCGATGTATATTAATCAGTCATATGTGTTGCATGTGGTGATGTTTGAATTTTACACACACACACACACACACACACACACACACACACACACACACACACACACATATATATATATCCTTTTTTTTGTAAATAAACCAGCACTAAAACCAAGAAAAACGGGCTCCTTCCTTACCCAGATCTGTCCAGTAAAAGAACTGGGGTATAACACATGCTATATATACATACAACAGTAATAACAAAAAAAAACATGAACATGTTAGGAAAATTAAACTTCCTTAGGAAGACTCACATTTACTCCCAACAAAAAAGTCAGTCATCATCATATATCTTTTGAAAACGTTTGGATATGTTTTGAATTGTATTTTTGGCCTGGAGACATATTTTACTTTTTTCATTTTCAGCTGAATTGCTGTGTTGGCCTACTGACTGAAAGGCTATGAGCTACACTAACAATTGATTAGAATTAAAAATTAGGAAGTAAACCATCTAAAGAGTGTCACTGTTTTCATTATTATTAGTCCTTAATTATATCATTTCCAGGAAACTTCATTTTCATTTTATATATTTATTTTAGCAGTAAAAACAGCATTGCATTAAGAAACATTGCCAGCTCTGGACCTATCTCAGTTCAAGAGTTGTTTTACAGCAGGTTTCCAGAGGAAGAGTATAAAACTGCAAAACAAAAAACAAACCTCATATTGCAATATGCATTGTCAGTGTGGTTGCCCTACATAGAAACACAAATCCATCTTTGGCTAACCTAGAAAACAAGATACATAAATGCTTCCATGTTTATGACATTTATCTACATGACATACTGTATAACAACATATCTATAAACTGTACTGATTTGGCATAAGAAACATAGAAATAAAAAAGGCCTGTGACACTGCGGTTTAACTGTGCCAGCCTATGACTCTGACTTGGTACCAGTCTGTGACAGCACTGCTCTTCTGCACCATACTTCCCAGGCCTGTGAAGGAAACCACAAAGTACAACAAAGAGTTACTTGACTTAGATTTTGTAGTAAACACCATAACAAATCTTTATCTGTCTATAAATGTGACTAAATGTAAATTAACACCTGCTATATGTTACAACACATGTATTCTAAACCCTATAAAAAATATGCATTTCTTTGGGAACTGAGGTCAACTATGATTGATTGTAATGCAGCAGTATTGGTCAAGAATGTCCATGTGCATCAAGACAACAGCAGATGGAGCTAAATAAAAGATTGCGCCAGGTTGGGAAATTTTTGCTCCTGCTCAGCAGCACACACTCATTGTTCCTCGATAATGATTACCCTAATTAGTTGTCATGGACAGATAATTTGGCAGTGAGTTCTCACTCAGTGGCCCAACATATTGAAATCCATACCTTTTAGATCATATTTGTTTGATGGGGAAAATGCCACAGAGTACAGCTCCATTCTGGGGTGAGAAATCTCATCCAGTATCTGAAACGTTGGCAGCTTGCTGTGATGTGACCGAGCCTAGTGTGGGTGCCCGTGGCTCGGTGAAAAACAGCCATCTTATCTCTACTGCATATGATAAGCTAATGACCTATTGTAATTTTTAGCTGAAAAGTCCCCGACAAGCATTCAAAAATATTTAGTGCATGCTTTCTAATACTGTGAAAGCCTTCTGCTGGACTGACTATGCCTGTGGAGAAATATGTAGGTACAAGTTACAGCATGACAGATCTCACAGGTACACCAAACAGATGGAAGAAGCACAGATTGGTATCTTGGTTTTATGGCAGAAGCTGGCACATGTTCTCAGGCTGTGTTTCTTTGTCTCAAACACACGTGCATGTACACATAAACTCAACACCTCAGGTGCTGGTTTTTTTTCTTGTGTGATATGATGTTCCCAACTAGAACATCATATCACACCACATCATCTGTAGTTCTTACTGCATATTAAACCTTTAATGCATGTTTTCTCAGTAATATCAAAAGAACAACAAAAGAAACAGCAAGAGTGCAGACACCTGGAGTGACGTACAGAAGAAACCATTATTGACTGCATTCATTCACAAACCTCAAACCTTCCCCGCTACACTAACCTTAACCTAAATTTCCTCGCCCACTGTATGTGTGAGTGTTGGGGGGACCTATGTGTTTACCACAGAGGACATGAATTACTATAGAAACATGTTTGTCTGTGTCAGTTTGTTGTTTGGGTTGTGGTTTTGGCCAAAATTTGAATGCTGGTTTATTTTTTTGCTACTTCCAGTCAAAGATCTCACAGGCATATCTAACATGAGTAAAATACTACCCAGTGTATTGTTTACAAAACTGAGAGGGAAGCCCATACTGAATAATTTATACCTTACTGAACCAATTCTCAACACACTTAGCTGGTTGCTGGCCCCAAGAAACCTCATACTATCTGACCACTGTTCCCACTGCACCCACTGTGATAACAAACCAGTTGATTATAAAACGTTATACCTTTTTCCTTCCCCTCACCACACCAACCATAGCTCCAGCCAGATAACCATATAAATACTGTACATCATATATCATACTGTATATTATATAAACAAAACAGTTTGGTAACACGTTGTACAAGAAAGCACTGAAAATAATTTTAAAAGAACTTACATAACCTAAGTTAGAAAGTTTAGGGCATTTACAAGCACTTATCCATTAACCTCTCTCATTCATTAGCCAGTCTTGTTTGGGATTCTTTATGAGTCCATAAACTTAGCTATCATAAGACTGAGTCACTCAGCTCAACATTTCACCAGACTGCAAAAACACCTATACAATATACTGTAGCATAACGTTTTTTAGCTGGTTTCTGCAGAGCCAGTACAGAACAGACTAAATGAATTATCTGTGTAATCAGTCTGCATGTGTTTATGTGCAATCATGCACCACCTCCTCATCCGATCTCGTAACCTACCAGACTATCACACTACACGCCTCAGTGGGTGTTTTTTCCTCTTCCTCTCAAAGTACAAGGATAGGGTGAGTGAGGAGAGGGTAAGCAGCAAGCTGCCCAGGACCGGTTGAAACCTGTATGGGCTGCAAGTGAAGAAACACTTACTGTACCTAGTGCATCACCAACCAGTTTCAGAAAAAGCTGGAATTGAGGCATGAGTTCAGTACTCAGGGTCTTACTGACTGCTGAGTTTGTCAATCCCAATAATACATACACACAGATATATAGCTAGTTAGCAGCACAGAGTATAAACAATGTTGTCTCATCAGTGAATGTGCTTAAAATAACTGTGACTGTAATGCAGTCATATGGACAAAAACATATACAATAATTTTAGCTAACAACCACAATCGTTTTTGTGGAGTTGGAGACTTAAACAAAAAGGGTGAAGTTGGTGTTGTGTTCAATTCACTTTGGAAACACGGTAGAGAAGAGAACTCATTTTTTGTTTCTCCTCAGGTTTTTCAGTTGTTGAATTTGCTGAATACTATCATAACTCACAGACAAGAACCGAAAACTACATTTTCTGACAGGTGTTATAATTATCAACACGTACGGCTAAATGCTTATCAAGGCAAATAAATAGATACATTTCACAGCAGATGTTTTGATTTGTCATAGTAGGTGAAGTGTCCCTGTGTGACAGCTCTGGTCTGTTCGTCTTTTCGCTGGTGTGTGTAAACTGTTGTGTAAAATATGCGGTACAGCCATTTCCTCCCTTCTTTTCAGCTCAGCCGTTGGCTGTGGCGTTTCCCCCCACGCGCCTTGAATGCAGCCAGGCGGTGTCATCCTCCAATGGGAAGCGCCCACAATAAGCAGCGGTCTGTGCGGCTCCATATTGGATCTTCTTAGAAATACGCTGCGCCGGAGGTGTACCTGCGTATGTTGTCCAATGTACAGTCGGGTCTGAGCTTAGGATTGAGGCATGAGGGAGGTAGCCGACAAAGGCGCCTTTACAAACAAATCTTGTTCGGAGCTTTGTTTTATAGAACAGCGCAATTCGCTTGGTTTTTAACGGGGATGAGAAATTAGATTAGAGACGCATCCGAAGAACGCAGCAGAAGTGGCATGAAGGCGAAGGAAGAATTAATTGGATTGAGATAACGCCACGCAGGCAGTAAGTATATATATATATATATATTGTCCCATGTTTTCAGTGTACCAGTTTAAAATAATTTATGCAAAGCACTGACCTAGTAAAAATCTGTTGATATTCTTTCTTCCCGCGTGGCCGGCGAAATGAATGATTTCCCAAGAATAAACTGGTTACCTGGTGTGAATGTGTACCTGACATGCTGACTCTCAGTTTTATGTTTCAACATGTCACCTGACCCATACAGCTTAACTTAGTGCGTAAGAACCCCTCGCGTGAGGAGAAACAGTCTAATGTTACATTATACAACTGTTGTAATGTGTTATTTCCTCTTGTGGTGGAATAGTCAGCCTGGTTAAATAGAAAAATGCACACTGTCAGTTTTGACTCATGACCAGTCTGCGACCTATTTCCTTGCTGTCTGAGGCCCATACTTCTACTAATTAGTTTACACAAAACTGCCTTGTGCCCACATTTAAACATATAATTTATCTTAATTAAGATGCAGTATTACCACGTGGTGGTTTAGATACTGTATGTATAGTGTCTGAACAGGTACCTGGACACAGATTTAACCCAGTGTCACAGGAAGGAGACTCCTCACCACCCTGCCCCTGCTGCCAGGCCCCATATTGCACCGGGCCCCGCCTTTTCCTGGATTCCCCCTTGTACAAAGCTGTTTTTCACGCCCTATTTGGTTGTTTCCATCATGTGAAGAGTGTGGGGATGAGCTGATAATCCTAAACTACTGGAGTGGTGTAATTATCAGCTTTGACACTGGTGCATGACTTGGTTCATTCTACAGTTTGATCCTAAATATCATGCTTTGGTCAGATACAGTATAAACACAGCTAGAAATTAAATTTAAGATGATAAATGACCTTGTGAGTTTGATTTTACATCAATGTAAAAGATGTGGAAGGAACAGCAAAGAACTGGTGATGTGACTTGGGGCTTACAATAGGGGGCAAAGGAAAATATATCACTAACACTGATGCAAACATGTGGCCTGAGGAGGAGCATTATATTCAGCATTACCTACCACTCCAGACAAATCAGATTTAGCCCAGTGTCTTTCCCAGTGAGGGGTTGACCGAGCATAACCCTGCTGAAGGTCTCTAAACTGGGAAATCTTGAATTTTTGAGGCTTGTGCCAATATTTGATGTTGTATATCTTTTACACTAATACAGAACATAAAAACAATTGATCAGGCTTTGTTAAATTTAGTTGTCGTGAAGTTATGACCACCTCCTTAGGAACAATGACTGTTGGTGCTGCCAAAACATTAATACTCTCATCCTCAAACCAGAGCTCAGTTTCTGCATATCATATCATGACAGAAAATTAGATCCATATAGACTACGTATAATTGAAATTTCTGCTCTAACATATAGCTACCATATTGGGAAAAACAACCGAAGCTTTCAGAATATTCTATTAAACAAAAAATGGAGTTGGGGAAGTTTTTCTTTTTGAAACACAGGAGACTTTTATCTCCTACTTGAAAAGAGTGCCATGCAGAATAAAGTCAAATATAGAAAGGCTACAGTACCTTTATTACTAGCAAGAAATACCCTATGTTTAGAGTATTGATTTTCAGTGTAGGCCCTAGAAAACAGATGAAAAATCATTCAAACACTTGACATACAGAAAGTGCCACATTTACAATTTAATGGGGGGAAGAGACAGTTTGCAGTGCTTCACTAAATGAAACACACGTGTGCCAAAGATGTCAGTGAATCAGAACAATTGGTCTGGTCTCATTCATACCTGTTTACACCTTGGGGTTAAATGTGTCACTCCAGGAGCTGTAGCTGGGAGAAGGTTGTGGCTCTCCGCTTTTGGCAGCCTGCTACAGATTTGATCCACAGGGGTTGAACTTCCTGGTGTATATGTTTCTGCTCTAGAAATCTGGTCTATTTTAAAAATGTGTATTTGTTTCCTGAAGGATTATCTTGACAACAGGACACAGTGTTTAAAATTGTCTTTAAGGACTGTTTTGCTCAGATGCAGGTAATTTAAACAGGAATTTTAGAATCATTTAAAGCAGGACTGCAATTCACAATTATTTTAATTCTAGGTTAAATTGTCAGAAAAATGATCACATCAATTTCCTAGAGCCCAAATGAACACCTCCATATGTCTTCTTTGTCCAACCAAACTAAAAAAATATTTAATTTACAGTCATATGAATCAGATCTTCACCCTGGAGAAGCAGGTACCAGAGAAGTTACTTAACTGATCATCAAAATAGTTGCAGGTTAAATTTCTGTCAGTCAACTAAACAGTTATTACACCGATAATTTCATCTTTCAGTTTGCATGTATAATATAGCTCATTAAAAATGCTCTGAGTAGATTAACCAACTTTCCTTCATTTGTTGCAGTAATGTTCACGCTCACTGAGGTTGCATCCTTGAACGACATCCAGCCGACATATCGCATCCTAAAACCATGGTGGGACGTCTTCATGGACTACCTGGGGATAGTCATGCTCATGCTGGCCATATTTGCCATGACCATGCAAATCACCAAGGACCAGGTGGCTTGTCTTCCATGTCTGGAGGATTCAGAGGGGTCCTCGGGAACTAAAGCTAACTCATTCCCCCAGCAGAGCACAGACGAAGCAGCCACCAGTGCCCCTGTGGTAACCGCCGGCCCCTATGTCACCAAGGACCTACCAGACGAAGCTGTCCGTGAGATTGACGTCACACACAAACACACAGCAGTGGTGACAGAGACGTATGTTAACCAGCCTCAACCATCGGGGATCAAGACCAATCTGGACTTTCAACAATATGTCTTTGTCAACCAAATATGTTACCATGTTGCCTTACCCTGGTACTCCAAGTACTTCCCATACCTCACTCTCATCCACACAATTATTCTCATGGTCAGTAGCAATTTCTGGTTCAAGTACCCTAAAACGAGTTCAAAGATTGAGCATTTTGTTTCTATTCTGGGAAGGTGTTTTGAGTCTCCTTGGACAACAAAGGCTTTGTCTGAAACAGCTTGTGAGGACTCGGAGGAGAACAAACAGAGGCTGACCGGCACCTCTTCAGTACCAAAAAATCTGTCTTTAGAGGAGAGGGATGAAAGCCCAAGAGACAGCGCATCCACACCCATGCTTGGGGTGAAGTTTTCTGCAGATAAGCCCGTCACGGAGGTCCCAAGTAGTATGACAATTCTGGACAAAAAAGACGGGGAGCAGGCCAAAGCCTTATTTGAGAAAGTGAGAAAATTCAGAGTTCATGTGGAGGACAGTGATTTTATCTACAAGCTTTATGTAGCACAGACCATTGTCAAAACTGTCAAGTTTATTTTGATATTGTGCTACACTTCGACATTTTTTACTAAAATAAGTTTCACACACAATTGTGAACCTGATATTAAGCAGCTAACAGGATACACAAGATTCTTCTGCACACACAGCATGGCTTTCATGCTGAACAAGCTGCTTATTAGCTACATGGCCCTGATTTTGATTTACGGGATGATGTGCTTGTACTCTCTCTTCTGGGTGTTTCGACGACCTTTGAAAGAGTACTCTTTCGAGAAGGTCAGGGAAGAGAGCAGCTTCAGTGACATTCCTGATGTCAAAAATGACTTTGCATTTCTCTTACACATGGTTGATCAGTATGACCAACTCTATTCTAAGCGCTTTGGTGTCTTTTTGTCCGAAGTCAGTGAAAACAAGCTGAGGGAGATCAGCCTCAATCACGAGTGGACCTTTGAAAAATTGAAACAGCTTGTGACCCGTAATGCACAGGACCAACAGGAGCTGTACCTCTTCATGCTCTCCGGACTTCCGAATGCAGTGTTTGACCTCACAGACTTGGAAGTGCTTAAGCTGGAGCTGATACCTGAGGTGAGGTTCTCGGCAAAGGTCTCTCAAATGACGAGCCTGCAGGAGCTGCACCTGTGCCACTGCCCTGCCAAGGTTGAGCAAACAGGGTTCACTTTCCTCCGTGACCATCTTCGCTGCCTTCATGTCAAGTTCACTGATGTTGCTGAGATCCCAGCCTGGGTCTATTTGCTGAGGAGTTTAAGGGAGCTTAACCTAATTGGCAACTTGAGCTCAGACAATAACAAAGCAATTGGGCTAGATTCCATGCGAGACCTGAGGCATTTGAAGACATTATGCTTGAAGAGCAACCTCACTAAAATCCCCACAAACATCACAGAGCTTTCACCACATCTGATTAAGTTAGTGGTGCACAATGATGGTACAAAACTACCAGTACTGAATAGTCTCAAAAAGATGACCTGTCTAATTCACCTGGAGCTGTACAGTTGCGAACTGGAGAGGATTCCCCACGCTATTTTCAGCTTGACCAACCTACAGGAGCTCGACCTTAAATCAAACAATATCCGAACCATAGAGGAGATCATCAGCCTACAGCACCTCAAGAGGCTGACATGCCTCAAACTGTGGCACAACAAAATTATCACCATCCCAAACTCCATTGGGCTGGTCAAGTCTCTGGAGTCTCTCTACCTGTCCCACAATAAACTCGAGTCCCTGCCTCCAGCTTTGTTCACTCTACCTAAACTGCGGCACTTGGACCTGGCCCACAACTCCATCACAGTGCTCCCTCCAGATGTGGGTCTGCTCCACAACCTCCAGCACCTAGCCATCAACTCCAACAAGCTGGATGTGCTCCCCAAGACTCTGTTCAAATGCATCAAGCTTAAGGTGCTGTGTCTGGGGAACAACGCACTCACCATTCTGCCAGAGCTTGTGGGGCAACTGGTCCAGCTCACTCAGCTGGAGCTGAAAGGAAACTGTCTGGACAGACTGCCTGCTCAGCTCGGAAACTGCCGCCTGCTGCGCAAAAACGGCCTGGTTGTGGAGGAGCATCTCTTTGACGCCCTGCCTGTGGAGGTTAAGGAGAGCATCAGCCGTGAGACCAGCACAACCTTTACAAGCGGTTTATAGCACAGAAACCACCATGGCAACACAGAGCAGCTCTGGTGGTTCATGACAAGCCTGTAAAATGGACCGAACACTTGGCCATCTATTATAATATCCATAAAAAAGAACACATTTTGTTGATTATTTTAATGGGTTTGTGTATTACAGCTTTTTTTTTAGCTTTTCTTGTTCATGATTATGTATCTAATTTAGCATTTTTTGGCCTTTTTTCATCTCTGAATAATAAGATTGTAAATTTTGCATCTCTGTGTAATACTGTATAGAAACGGTCTGCTCTAATGATGTAGTTTTATCATTATTGTATTAGGGACTCAGGTTATAACCTCAGAGAGCAATCTTTTGCCTTAACTGCTACTGTTTTTACAGTGCATGCTTTCAGAAACAAAAGGCCAAATATAAATATTTCATCTTGTCTATTTATCATACAACCTCTATCCACACAGCAATTTTCATGCAGGATGTTATGGAATTCGACACAATGCAATGCTCCTTTCTTGGTAGTATTTAACCTTAGTTGAAATCTTGCAGTATGACCTTTATTTTCCTTGATGTCTTGTAGCTAACATATTAAGTTTAGGGATGTAAAACTCAGGTGGAGACTAAACAGCAGAAATGACCCTTTAGGGATTGTATACTGAGGCCTATAGTAATTCATTTGCACATTGAAAACCTAAAGATTTAAAAATTGATGAATGTCCTTTGTGATATTGTCCTAAGACCAGTATGAGCTGACAAAAGAGAAATCGGTTATCTATCTTTTTTTAAACACTGCTTTAAAATTTGACATGTGATGAAACTTGTCAGAGGTAGGACTGATTATTTACACGACCGTCATGTGATGATGACCAACATGTCTGCTTTCGATTTTCTCAATGTATTTTGTATAGGCCTATATACTGTATGTGTTCTTTACAGCTGTACCACCTTGGTGACCCTATGCTGAAAAGTCACAACTTTATGGCACAATAAAACAAGATTTTAGATGACTGTCTAGTTGTTATTCATGTATTTCGTGTGTATGCCACTGAACACTGCTACAGACAGGTTTGAACATCAACAGATTAGCATTTAAAGCTAATAAACCCTTAAGTCATGTTTGGACTTCTGTCACACCCTCAGTTGGGAGAAGGAAAAATCTTTTACACAATTTGAAATGCATTTTACCAATTTATGGAGGATATATCAAGTACATCTTTTCATGCAAATGTCTCTTTCTAGTGTGCAAAGTTAGGTTAAATTTGAAACCTTTTATTCATACAAAAAACAAAAAGCTCTCCTGTTATCCTGAGAGTAAACTTAAGTCATCTGTTTTCTGTCTGCACTGCACCAGAAATTTAAAGGAAAAAAAATAAGGCTTTCCTCATGTTCTCCTAGAGGCTCTGTTTAAAGACTCCTTTGCTAAGGCTTTTTTGTCAGTGCCATCCAGAGACAGAATGAAAGTTACAGTGACCTCAGTCATTCATAATGCCAGCCTGCAAATTCTGCAGTGAACGTGACGGTTAAACCACTCCCTAACATTTGTTTCCAGTTCACCGATAATAAAGAAGCTTTAGTCTTTGTATTGATATCAGGTTTTTTCCTTCTGGTATGTGAAGCTTAACCCACATAATATTTTCACAATACTGTATGTCTACTGCTAATATGATGAAGATACAGGAATCTGTTATATCAGAGTTCATTCACCCATATGATACTACAGAAGATATTTCTGCCAACATATTTTCTGTTCAGTTTTATAGTACAAGGGCTGGATTTTACAGTCATTTCTCTGGAACAATATAGCTTTGTGGTTGTTGTGTAGATTTTGAATAGGTCATGCGTGTTATCCATGTTTGTAGTTTTCTGTTCAAGTGTCTACAACAGTCTCAATGATGGCCTTGCAGTAATATGATGAATAACAGAATTTTTCTGAGAGTCTCGGTCACTGTGTGCTTGTCCTTGAGACGTCCTATCCTGGTTTTAAAGGCACATACTGCTCCTTATTGTGTCCTGAGTGTCTACACTTATCCGCTTTATTTAGACTAGCTCAACTTTCAGCAGATGCTTCTGTCTGCTGGCAGTGCATTTCTTAAATTATACTTTAAGCGTCCAGGTCTTTATTAAGTAACCTAGAGTTATAGCCAAAAATATTGGCACCCATGCATTTCTATCAGATAACACACAACTTCTTCCAGAAAATTGTTGCAATCACAAAATCTTTGATATTCTTATGTTTCTTTTGTTTGCATTGGAATGACACAAAAAAGCCAAATCTGATACATTCCACAAAGAACTCTAAAAATGGACTGGACAGAATTATTGACACCTTTTGAAAATCATCAAAAATCTCAAGGCTACAAGTCTATGTCCAGAGATCTGGCTGTTCCTGTGTCCACTGTGCACAACATTGTATAAACAACATGTTTACAGCCCATGGGTCTCTAGCTAATCTCCCTGGATATGGACGAAAGTAAAAATAGATAGATGACATATTGCAACGAAGGATTGTTTGAATGGTTGATAAAGAGACTCAGTCAACTTCCAAACAAATTTGAGATGGCCTACAGGCACAGGGTGCAACAGTGTCAGCTTGCATTATTTTTTCATTCATTGTAAAGTCACAGTAAACTCTGTACTACAAGTATAATTGAGCATGTACAATACTTCCATCATCTACTTTATTTGCTGTGGTTTTCAAAGTTGAGTCAGTGTCAGCTGTGATTTAACCTTTCTATCATCCATGGATACTAGGAGACCAAACAGCTGATAGCATTTAAGTGAAATGTATTGCTTTGAAAACCACTGTTCATGATGTTAAATACTGGTGCTAGGCATATGGTGTGTAATAGTAACTCTGGAAGATAGAAGGACGTGTTGCAGGATGTTGTCATCTGTCGACAGGTCTAATAGCATTCTGTTAATGTACCAGCTCTTTGGGGAAATTGAAAGAAAAGTGGCAGAAACAATGGGAAGAAGAGAGAACAGGAAGATGGTTATATAAGACCCAAGGCAAAGTATTGAGGTTAGAGTTTGAACATACAGGACTAAACAATACATTATTTAAAATGGGTAAACATGTTACTGGAAGATGTGACTTTTGAGGGGAATAAGAAACAGCTTATTAGCATGTTATGTTATATTCCACAAAATATGAGGTTGAGAGAAGGGAAATGATTTGGAATTTTAGAGATATAAAGGTGGTGTTTGATTTGTATGATATTTTACAAAAAAGGACTGGAGACGTATGTTTTTGTTTCAGTTTTTAAGAAATACAAAATGGATAGAGAGAGTTAATTTTTTCTTAAATACTGATGTAAATAATTATGAATTGTTATAAAAATTTAATGATTTGATTTAGGAAAGAGTAGGTAGGATTCCTGATCCACACCAGCCCAGCAGGTGGCGGTAATGCACCTTAAATTGGCTTGCAAACCGTCAATAAACATCATAAGAAGAAGAAGAAGCTCTTTGTGGCTGAACCAGCTTCATTTCAACGCGCATATTAATTTAACCTCTCCTAAAAAAAAACACTTCAGTGATGAACCGTCAGAGCAATATTCCGTTTAACCCTTTAGCGGTACCAATATGTTCTGCTCCAATTTATCTATCACAGCTACCTGGAAGGTAAATTACTGCTCTGTGCAGTCTTTACATGTAACATTAGTTAATGTTGTGCTGAGCCTTCCTTTACATGAGACCGTTTCAGATGTACAACGTTGAGCAATGTGCCTGTTGGATTAGTTTGCGACTCTCTGTCTCTGTTGACTAGCTAGATATTTAGGGTGAGGTTACATGTAACCGCTACCTCAAACATTAATAGACGTGAGCTGCTTTGTTTGTAGCTACGAAGCTCAAGCTAAATAGCGGAAAATTGCTAAGCTAGCCAGGTTTACGTGGCTGATTTGTCGATTGTCTGTTTCTGTGATTAAACAGAGTTCCCCAAGACTTCATAGCAGCTATGAACAACATCCCAGCGATGTCAGTAGACAACCCAAACATCCGGACATCTGACATTGTTGTTAACACGGTACCACTGCAGAAACGTGCAGGTAACCTCTGAGGACATCCAAGCACACATGTCCTTACAAGGCCATAGCAGCGTGTTTTAGCTCATTTACAGCAAATTACCTATACATCATAATTAATCGTTTTGCAAATGATGGATCTATAAAAATTTGGTCGTGGTGGCTAGGCTGGGGCACAGACACAGAGAGGGTTGGCACATTTGAAATACTTGTAAAAAGTCAATTAAAACCATTAAAACCCTAGTTGTCTACACTCTTTATTTACAACATTGCTGTTGCACAGTGGTCCCCCCCTCCCCCCCTGAGGCTATTTATGCTAAATACTCCATAACACAATCAGAGAAATGAATTCAATTATCATGCTGCATGCATGATGTAAAATACAACAAATTTGACCAATATAAATTATAAAGCACCAGAAAAATGTTAGTTGTATTTAAGGCAACAGTGTGTCATTGTTTTTCATTCATTACAGTAATACTGACAAGCATCACATTTTGACTGTGGCAGGGGTGGTCAAGGGTGGCCGGTGACACCCGCTGGTTCCGCCCATGTGCAATGGGAGAGTGACCAGAAATGAACATAATGTGATGGATGTTATAACTGAGGCATGTTTCATGACTCTGCTTTTGATACTGTAAAGAAACCAGCAGAATGTAGTGAATGAACTGTATGGAACTGTACATAGTTCTTGTTAAGTATCTTAAACCTGTATTTATGCTTGCCTGGGCACCTTCTGTATAAGACTGAGAAAAGCTTTCCCTTTCAATCTTCAAACAGAGATGAAACAAATGCACTTCAATTCATTGGTCAGTTTTAATTATGGACTACATATCTGAATGCATTAAGTTGGTCAGTATAAATTATCTTTACTTTTTTTACCTTTTGGATTCTACAGTGAAAACCTCTGCTACTAAATGGAGGTCTTCATTCAAACCAGTAGGCGAAGATGGCGACTTTCAAGACCAAAGCACAAGCAGTCCAGAAACGTAAGTCAGGAATTCTGTGGCCTTCACTGTCAATTTGTAAATCTTACTAGAAGTTCCACTGGTCCCCCGAATAGCCACTGTCTGTCAGCCTCTGCTGGACATCTCCCACTCACTGACCCAAAGACTGTATATAAAAGATGGATGAGCCATCACTACTTCCCTCCATTACACAAAAGCCAATATGGCAGCTGTGACCTATACCCCAGCCAGCCACCAGGGGGTGATAGACTCACGGTGGCTTCACATTGGAAAATGTCCGCTGTCCATCTTTATATTCAGTCAGTGCCCAGTGAGGCTTTGAATCTACAGTTGTGGGATCTTCTTCCAGTCCTGCAGCAGTGCCTAACAAAGTATCACATGAAGCTGATCTTTCTTTTAGTCACAATCGAAGATACCCCATATTTAAGCATTGAATTCTTGTCATGACTTAAAATACTAAAATATGTTTTGTTTGAAGGTGACTTAATAATTATGTATTATTCCTGGTGGACTTTGAGGCATAATTGCAAGTGCAGGAAAGATGCAGTGTGCCACTGACTGATTAAACAAATTTAACTAAATGGACACAGCCTTGAATTAGGCTTATCTCATAAAAAATGTTTTTCTGTTTGTCGTTTTGGGTATTTTCCAGTCTGTGTGAACATTCAGTGGTTAATCATAACATGTCTTTACAGATTATGTTTATCACATAAATTGCATGAAACACACAGTAATCCCTGTTCTGTCTCCATTAGGGAGATTTATGACCCTTACGACCCCATATTGTCAGACTCTGAGCGTGAGATGCCACCAAGCAAAGACCACAATCAATGCCCATCCAACCAGGATAACATGCTGGGGCAAAGACCTTTGTCTCTAAATAAAAGCTCCCGTACCAAGAGTCGCTGGGATGTATCAATCTTTGATCTACAGAGACAACACTTAGACCGTGAAACCAAACCCACAGAGAATCGAGGTCTCAGTCATACACTGCCTGAACAACGAGCCTATAGCCAAGACACTGAATCACTTAAGCAACCAGGGTATGGCTCAATAGGTAGACCTCTGGACCACAGGGTCTGCATCCCTGACAGGATTATTCATGGCTCCTCCACACAACAGTTTCCTGCATCTTATGGAGGACAGAGGACCAACGGGGAGGAGACAGTAACCGTGCCAGAATACAGGATAGAGGTATCACCAATAAAACTGAGAATGTGACAGCGGTTGTTTTTGCACTCTAAATGTAGCTTTTTACATACTTGGTTTTATGGTTACAATGATGGAGTGACAATACTGTGATACTTGGAAAGAATGGGTCCTTTTTCTCCCCTCTAGATGACCACTGCTGTTAGATTATCCCCATCCAGGTTACAGCAGGACTTTCATCATCATTTGGGGCAAGCAAAAACAGGTAAAACAGCGCGCTCGTTCACGGATTACACGCATTAAATCTTCTTTACCAGCATCTTGAGAGTATTGTTTGCAAAACTAAGAATAAACAGTATGGTGGGTTTTTGAATGAGTAAAGCAGTGCATCATTTTTGCCTTGTGTTCATGTATGTCTCAGTTCTGTGTTTATTGTTGCTTCATAGGACAGGACCACATCACATCATCCAAAAAGGTGACAGGGGACAGGACGAAAAATATAATAATGGACAAGTAAGCACAAAGCAGCATACTGACAATGTGCAGTTGTTTAAAGATGCTCAATTTTTTAATAACATTGTAAACTGGTTGCAAAAAAAAACATGGGAACCACACATTTTTATTATGGATGTTGCTTTAATATACAGTATGTTGCTCTCTGTATATTCTTTGTCTTGTGACATTATACAGGATCAACTTGTGGCAGTTTCTGTTTCAGGGCACCAACTGTAGCTACTTTATGTGTACATTATCAGTTGTTGCTAAAATCAACAGATAAGCAGAATTGTACCAGTATATTGTTGAAAAAAGAAGTCCATACAGATAATATTGCTCTGTTGGTAGTAATGTTATTATTGCTCAAATTTGATTCATTAAACACCTCTCGTGCAGAACTGCATGGTTAGCTCAGTATAGCTATGACTAAAATATGTCAGTGTAAAATGTAGGCATGCATACTGTATGTCCACCACTGCAGTTACAATATAAACACATTGTGATTATAAATAATAGGTGAGTGATGAAGGAGAGATTGATTATAGTTAGCACTGCACAAACTAAATTTCATACCAATTTCCTGTTTTGCTAGCTTTATGTCTTTGTCTTACAGATGTTAGTCACTGTTGTTGCAACACAGTTACCACGCGTCACTTTTGAGATTAGACTGACTGACGACTGATCGAGTCCTACTTGGTTTTTTACCCTGTAACGTCACAAAGAAAAAAAAGATCCTCTTCCTTAGACAGGCCTGTTTTTGTTCCTATAGTCACATTTGCATCATGGCGGTTTTAATGTCATCCTATCACGTTGGCTCTCTGCAGCTGTTACAAGGGGGCAACAGACTGGGAGTTAACATAGGAACAGTTGTTGTGAAGAACAAGGCTGGCCCGGTGGGAAGCTGCATGTAGAGGATTAGGTTCAGTGTGGGCCCTTTTACAATTGTGCCTGCAGCTGAGAACCCTGAGCTCCCTCTTGGATGACAACTGTTTGTCAGTAATGACTCCACAATAAACTGGAATCAAGTTGGACTTCCTCTATTGCTACATAAGCCAGAAATCCGTATACGCCTACCTAACAGCCTTATATTATGCCAGAAATTCCTTACATACTTATTCATACTTAGCCAATCACCCAATGAGTGCAATTAAACCACTCTTCCAAAATGGAACTTTATTTTGAATAGTACTTCATAACCTAAAATCATCAAGTTAACTCTTGGGACTCTAATTTCAGTCCTCAGACTTAACTAAGTCTGAGGTCATATAAAGACCTTAAGTTGTTCAAAGTAGGGATGGGACGATATGTCTTTTTCTCAAAGTGATTCAATGCACAATATGGTGTGTATGATTCAATTCAATCATGACACGATTAAAACTTCAATGACAATGTATGACTAGTTGTAGAATACTTGTACTTTATTCTTCTTTTCCCCTTTTCTAGCGCTGGTTTGATGATGTAAAGAACCACATATATTGGCTTGCGTTCTGTTAGGCTGTCTTATTTACAAAAAATATGAATAAGGTGTATGTAGATAACATGATGTATATCTCTAGACAAAATGGTAAATATAGAGACCCTATTCAAAGGTCTGTTGTTTCACTGTTTAATAATCAGTATTTTGCATTGCCCTAATATTTTTCTTGTAGGAACCCGATCACCTGTGACCTTTGTGATGTTGAGTTGGCCAATGCACAGGAGCTGGAGGATCACTTGGACAGCAGAAGCCATTGGAATACACTAGAGTACATTCAGCAGCAGAATAATTATAGTGATATGGCTATAGCTTTCCTACAGGTAAGATAATACACAGTAAATATGAGAGTCCCTGATCTGTGCAGTAATGTTCTACAGATGTCTTTTGCCCAACAGTTTTTTGTTTTCAGTTCCAGTGTAACATAGATGCACTAATAAATGCTGGTGTATTGGTGGGATTGGATGGTGATTACATGTTTTGCTATCCCTATAGGAAGTCATGCTGTATAAAAGCCATCAGTGTAGCCGGGCCATAGAGGACAGTGCTCTTCAATGTAACTAATAATTATCACAAACTGAAAAGTTGCATGGTCTTATTACCTTCTATTCCAGCCTAACAGTGCCTAAATACGATGTGATATCTGTATTGTCAGCTCTGCAGGAAAATGACCACATGACAAAGGTGGAACTGTTCCACTGTGCGGCTTGCAATGTCTTCGTGGCCACATCTGCATCGACGGTGCAGAGTCACATTACTTCTCAGGAGCACCTGTCCAACACGACGGTAACACAGCTGTAAAGTAGCATACTTTAACATAAACAAATATTAATTGGTTAATGATTATTTGTGAATTTTAAAATTCCCTGAAGGAGTTTGAAGTGCAGCAGCGACATGCTTGCCTCAGCAAAGCAGAAACCATAATGAAGGAGCTCCATCCTCAGTTTGAACAGTTCATGAAGGTATTTGGTAGTAGTTAATTTACTATATATGTACTGGTATGTATGAACATAATTATGTGATTCATTAAAGTACATAAAACAAAGAATAGGGAGGAAATATTTTAATAAAGCATAGATATTCCCTGAGATTACTAATTGGCACATTCAGTTTAGTAGTTATTTCTATTGAGTAATATTTAATGAATTGCTGATTCAGTCCCTCAGATTAACAGTATTGTCACGGCCCATTTCTAGCCATGACACTTGATCTAGGGACTGCATAAAATTTTATTTTGCTTTTTGAACAAAATATGTGGCTGTGTATTAGGTTTTGACTGAGAGAAAACATGCTGCCACTGACATCCCTTGGCTAATGTACATGTATTAGGTAATTTTAGGGGTCAGTTTAGAATTATATGGGTGCAAATTACTAATTTAAAGCAATAACTTCAGTCACTTGAATGTACTGTACAAATTACTTAAAAAACCCTGAGTTAAGTGGTTTACTAATTCAAATAAAAAGCTATTTCAAATGGGGGACGTGGGGTTTGTAGTCTATATCACTAAAATAAAGGCTGTATTTCAATATATTGTAGGTACACGTGTAGAGTAGTAGAATAAAATACAGTAATTAAAAACTGAATATAGAATATAAAAGCTACTAATTGTAGGGCCTACAAGTCAATATGTAGTCAAGTCAATAGACAAGTGGTTTTGTGTGTGCAGTGGAAGTAGAGATCAGACATTTGTGCATGTGTTTGAAGATAAACATAGCTCATACTGAAATAGAAAACCACAGGTACTGTAATAACTGTGCATTTAAACAAAGGGGAGATTGCATTTCTGTATTTATGTGGTTATTGTAGTACATACAAGGGACAGCAAACCAGATCTTTTTATATTTACATAAGATTACTGAGGTACATTTTTTATGTATTCCCTTCAGTAATGCATTTGTTTTCAGTCTGTGTTCTACATCTAATTAGTGGTACAAGCAATAGTATCCTGCAAGGCTTCTAATAATTACAAGTAATAAAAGAATGCCTGCACTTCGACTAGATTGAGCCCTACAGATGCAGCTGACTACTTAACCATTTTCTTTTCTTTCAGGGTTGCAGCCCATTTGAATGACAGAATCACTGGAAGCATCCGCTATACTGTTTAAACTGAAATGTTTCTTCAGATGAAGAACAATGGACATCTTCTTCTACTTTTGGCTGTTGCCATTAGGAGTCACCACAGCGAATGATCTGTGGACGTAAAACAGCTAAATTTGAATCTCAGCACCACAAGTGCTGAGTCAGTACTCCTGTACAGTACGTTGTGTAGTGAGCATACTATGTATGTGACTTGGCAGAATAAACTTAAGCATCATCACTCCAGGTTTGTTCACACAGCATGGATTTTTTTTTAAATACCTTTGCACATATGATTTGTCATGTTTGTCCATAGTAATATTAGGGTTCCCAGGGTATCAGTGAAGATTGTGACCTTTTAAAATTACAGTTCAAATGTTGATCACTTGTGTGTAAAAAATAATTAGAAAAACTCAATTTTCTTCGTCTTTATTTAGAACAACACAAATGTTTTAAGCCTTGGATCTGTGTGATAGAGTACATTTAAAATTAAATTATTTCAAAACAGTATATTTAAACATTAAATATAGGTGACATGAATGAAGGGCATCGTCAGCACAAGCTTTTTTTTTTTTTTTTACCCCTTTAAATTTTAATTTTGTATTAGAAACAATGCAATTACAGATACTATAAAACTTCTATGCATAACAAGTTTGCACATTTTTGCAGATGTTTGCTCTTTTATAGTTGTCAATTTTTCCACTTGAGAAACTTGTCTGGAGCATTCAGGTGCCATCACCGTCAAGCCAAAATATTCATCTCAGTAACTCTGGCCTGAAAACGGACACTGTGAGCTTTGATTTGAATACATTGCAATACAAAAGAAACATGATTCTATGTATCTTATAAATGTGAATATTGATTCTGAAGAAAGGCGCTCCCAAATTTGGACATAATGGACTCAAGCCATGAGAAATCTGAGGTAAAGGTTGTCTTCATTAGAAATGGATTCCACATTATATCACTGCATAAAACAAGGAAACTGTCCATTTGGAATTATATCCCCAAAACAGACCATGTAAAAACAGAAAAAGGTAACAATATCCAAAATAATTAACTTTTTCATCTGTCCACATGTCAAAACATGTACAATATCTCCATCACTGAGTGATATTGTACTTTTGGCCAGTATTTCATTAACTAAAAATGAAAAAAAAGAACATCCATAGTACATACACATACAGTCTAGTGAAATCTAAGTCCCCATTGACTTCATGAAGCAGCATATGTGGCTGTCAAAGAGCTGTCTTCGTCTGTCTTGAGAGTTGGGGGGTCTGTGGGCAGCGAGGTGACCTCTACCATGCCTAGCCCAGTGTAAGGGACACTAGTGTTCATAATGTGTCTCTGTAAATGCTTAATCCAGTCCTCCTGGACCGACAAGGGACCCTGGAAGACGAGGTCACAGAACCTGTCAAGACAAGGATAGACTTTCAAGGACAGAGTAATACAAAATGTGTGAATAATAATAATACAAGTCATCAGATTTTTAGATTGATCATCATAAATGTATTTCTCTGTAAAACCAAATACACTGACAGCGACCCAGATGCACATATTGTTAAAGGATAAGGCAGGTCATTTTCTGCAGTAACAGTATATTAAACGTTACCTATACTGAGACTAAAACTGAAAATGATTTGACTACTCATTGTTAATGTCCAAGTCTGTCAGTGCTGGATTAGTTAATTCATCTGTGCCACAGACCTCCATTGCTGTTCAAAAACAAAACACACCACTGCACTAGGAGACATGTTTCCTCATTGCGAAACAACAGACCCTGGCATAACCTTTTACAGCATCTGAAGTGAGCTAGAGTCAGGGGCCCATGCACAGGATCTCTGGAACATCAGGGTCTGGTGTTTCATAATGAGGCAACATGTCACTAATTGATTATTCTTTGAGCCTCTGATGGTTACAAGGGAGCAAAAATCTTAAAAATGATTAGTTAATTGATGTCCACTGTCAGATAATTCAACACAGTTTTGATAACTGATTAATTATTTACCTCCGCCGAAGCAGAGGTTATGTTTTTACCAGCACTTGTTTGTTCTTAGCATAACTCCAAAAGTATTGGATTTGGATGAAATACTTTTGGTGAAGTAGGGTACGGCCCAGGGAACAATCCATTCGATTTTGGTGCTGATCCTGATAATCATCCGGATCAGGATTTTTTTTTTTTTGAAGGAGTCTTCAAGGTAGGGCCACTTTCAATATTTTTGCTTTTAATTTCATACACAATGCTTGGACAGCTAGAATTACTGCTTTGCGGTTGTATGCCTCCGCTGGCAAGTCAAATTCATGGGTATGGGACAGGTATGAGAGCACTGACCTTGACATTTGATCACCAAAATGTAATGTAGAGTTCATTCTTGCATCTGACATTTGTGCCAAATTTGAAGAAACTCCCTCAAGGTTTTCCAGAGATATCATGTTCACAAGAATGGGACGAACGAGAGGTCTAAGTGACCTGTGACCACCAAAATCTAATCAGTTCATCCTTGAGTCCAAGTGGACGCCTGTGCCAAATTTATATAAAAAAAAAAAAATCCCTCAAGGTGTTCCTCACATATCTCGTTCACAAGCATAAATGCCAAATTCTTGCTTTTTTCAGCTTCTCCAAGGTGATGTTTTGCTGCTTTTCTGGTTTACATCATTGTGAAATGAATACAGTGTATTTAGATTTTTGTACAGTGCAGGACATTAGGTAGCATCACTGTGGACTCTACTTTGGAGCATAGTAATGAAAACAGGTCTCTTGGTTATCTAGTTAGTTTTGTATAAATAAATAACAATGGTTACCAACAGAAGCTTAACAGACCGTAAGAAACATTTGATGATGGTCCAAATCTGCTGGACTGACTGTATCCACCAATTCACAGTATAATACTGTATTTACACTAAACGGGAAACAGGCCAATACCTGCAGGTGAGTCTGTACATTTCCTCTGGAGTTTGCGGTAAGGGCAGTGTTTTCTTCTTTGATCCAGGCCTTGACCGCTGCCTCCTGGCTTTGCAGTCAAATGCTGAAAGACACGTTACTTTATTAATTTACAGAACAGACTTGCTAATTTAACATTTTAATGGACAAGAGTGATAACCACCAGAAAGGTTTGGTGTTTCAATTTACCATTGCACATTTTCACAGATGATCTGTTAGTTCAATGAATTATTCACCTTGAATGTCTGGGCATTATTACCCTTTGCTTTTTTTCATACTCAACTTTCCACCTTGAGCCACTGAGGTGACTGGCTTTGTATGTCAGCTGCAAGCCCATACTTCTAAGAGACAAAGCCCAAAATGTACTGTAGGTGTGATGATCTGTGCCAGCAGGAAACAAGCCCTGAAGGCTTCCTGTCACAATAAGGTTGTTCTTCCCACTGATGCACCCACGAAGCTCCACAATTGAAATGTCTGCCATTTGCTCACATGTAGATTCTTACCTTGTGGAGGACACAAATAACTACTGATAGTTAAATGCAACTGAAATAATCTGGATGTTAGAATCTCTTGAGGCATCTAGTCATACAGAAAATTTTGGGTTTATCTGCTGATGATTTGAGATATTATTTTTAGATTTCCGTTTCTGGCCGTGGAACAACTCTATACCCTCTTCAGGGTGACGGAGGGTTCATGGGAGTTTGCCCAACCAGTCCACGTGTTTTGTGAATTTGGAGAAGGCATTCGACCATGTCCCTCGCGGCGCCCTGTGGGGGGTGCTCCGGGAGTATGGGGTCCAGGTCCCTTTGCTAAGGGATGTCCGGTCCCTGTACGACTGGAGCAGGAGCTTGGTTCGCATTGCCAGCAGTAAGTCAGACTTGTTTTCAGTGCATGTTGGACTCCGGCAGGGCTGCCCTTTGTCACCGGTTCTGTTCATTATCTTTATGGACAGGAGTTCTAGGTGCAGCCAGAGGCTGGAGGGAGTCCGGTGTGGGGACCACAGGATCTCGTCTCTGTTTTTTGCAGATGACGTCCTGTTGGCTCCATCAAACCAGGACCTTCAGCGTGCACTGGGACGGTTTGCAGCTGAGTGTGAAGCAGCTGGGATGAGAATCAGCACCTCCAAGTCTGAGGCCATGGTTCTCAGTCGGAAAAGGGTGGCTTGTTCCCTTCAGGTTGGTGGAGAGCTCCTGCCTCAAGTGGAGGAGTTCAAGTATCTTGGGGTCTTGTTCATGAGTGAGGGAAGGATGGAACAGGAGATTGACAGGCGGATCGGTGCAGCCTCCGCAGTAATGCGGTCGATGTACCAGTCTGTCATGGTGAAGAAGGAGCTGAGCTGTAAGGCGAAGCTCTCGATTTACTGGTCGATCTACGTTCCCATTCTCACCTATGGTCATGACCGAAAGGGCAAGATCCCGGATACAAGCGGCGGAAATTAGCTTTCTCCGCAAGGTGGCTGGGTGCACACTTAGAGGTAGGGTGAGGGGCTCGGTCACTCGGGAAGAGCTCAGAGTAGAACCACTGCTCCTCCACATTGGGAGGAGCCAGCTGAGGTGGCTTGGGCATCTTTTTCAGATGCCTCCTGGGCGCCTTCCTAGGGAGGTGTTCCGGGCACGTCCCACCGGGAGGAGGCCCCGGGGAAGACCTAGGACACACTGGAGGGACTACGTCTCTCGGCTGGCCTGGCAACGCCTTGGCATTGACCCGGAGGAGCTGGATGGAGGGAAGTCTGAGCAGCTTTGCTTAGACTGCTGCCCCCGCGACCCGGTTCTGGATAAGCGGAGGAAAATGGATGGATGGACTTGTGTTGCCATGTCTACGGTGGATCAGGTGACCATGTTACTTGGGTACAATTAACCAGGTACAATTTACATACTGCATACCTGATCAGATTATTATTTTCCATCAGAGGCATGGCTACTTAAAACTAGCAGTAGGGTGAACTGACTGTATATCCTCATCTAAGGCACCCTGGGGAGGTTTTGTATCCTGACCACACAGGCAATGTGTTAACATTCCTTTTTTTTTTCGCTCGTCCAGAAAACTAGGGAGCAGAAAGCTGCTAGCTAGACAACATGGGTGTAAGCGATGCAGGTTTAAAAAAATAAAAAAATTTAGACAAAGACTCGAGTATATTGATATTAAGATGACCCTTCATTATAACTCCATTGCTTATTTACTTTTCTTTCACAAACAATGGCAGGTGAATTAAGTAGTCCTAATCATTTATGGCAGAATTTCACCACAATCACATGTACAACATGCTAATTATTACAGTCACAGATTTGAATTAAGATTTAAATGGGCAGGTTTCCAGAATAATGTGTTATCAATGTATCACACCCTTTTATTCCCAAGGCTTTTCTCCACTTTTACACTGAATCTGGTATGAATGTGGCAGTTTCGCTACCTCCACTCTGGCATAATAACAGGATCAGCAATGCCCTATCCAGGGCTTGTACAAAAAAGTTCTGCCATAATTCTGAACTGCCTTGAACAGCCACAGTTAAAAGACTTATAGAGTTCCCAGTAGGACATCTTGAAGAACTGGGTCAAGGGACTGTTTGGAGAATTTGGTGTTCAAGTACTTGGATCATTCTTAGTTCAAGGATGTATAAAGATTATTAGTCGCTAAAGCAGGAACAAAGATGGAAACCTTCAGACTGTTACTGTATTCTTGGAAAGATGTTTTGTTTGTCTGTAATTTGAACTGCTGCTGATGTCACTTACTGGTTCCTTCAAGTAAGGCAGTCCTCTTTCGTTTTGCATATGCTCGGAGGTGATTAGATAAACTAACTCCACTGTGGAAAGTTGCATTGCAATGGATGCACACCTTCCTGTTGAATTCACCTCTCTCTGTAAAAGACAAAAAAAAATTTACAAAGAGAAATAAGCTTAAAAAAAGCAGTGTGTTATTTCTTAGTGGTATAAAGGAATCATATGACTGGACTTAACATGTACTTCGGTCATATTGAAGCAGGCCCAGTTTTACAAGGCCTGTGTGGGTAATTTCTGTTTGACAAACCATTTTGCAATTAACTTTATGAGACAAGAATAAATAAATAAAGATTATTTGCATTATTATGTGTAGCATGCTCTTCTGTTTTGGCCACATAATCTAAAAGTAAGTGGGAAATCTCATTCTATGCCTTTATGCTGATGACACCCAACTTCAATGATGCATAAAATCTGATGATCAGTGCTGTGTTCACTTCCAAAAAAGCTCCTGTAAATGTTAATGTCTTCATTTTCTTTACCTGTCACAAACATTCAGATGGTGACACAGGTCATTTTTAGTACATAGCTATTTTTGCACAAAAGATCATATTGTCATATTGTCCAATCTTTACTTTTCCCATTAAAAATGTTTGTAATCTGAATTTATAATCTGCAAATCTGGCACTGGTCATTCTAAAAGGCATGGTACTAGAGCTTTACTGATATACTGGTTTATCACAGAAATGCTGTATCCCCATATAAAATATGTGGATATGTTTGCAAAAGAAAAAACAACCCTGAAATATATAAATGTTTTAAAAGATGCAATTTATAGATGCATTTATTTTTCTTGAATAAACCTTTGCATTACTTTCATTTAGAAATCCACAGTTTTACCTTTTACTATTTATTGATATAATCTTTGATAAGGTAAGTTAGCAACTATAAAACATCCCACCTCCATGAAATTGTCACATTTCTTTTACTAACTAAATTTGAGAAACCCTTTAAAAAAATGTTCATTGTATCAGTTTCTTTTGTCATGTCAGCAAAGGCTGATTTATCACTTTAAAATGTTAAACCCTCTAAGAAAGTCACTTTCGGCTTTTCCCATTTAGGGGTCGCCACAGCGAATCGTTACACTGACGACTCGCATGTTGACATTTGGCACGTGTTTTACGCTGGATGCCCTTCCTGACGCAACCCTAATTCAAACCCGGGCTGCAGCAGCAAGAGCCCTGCGCCTTAACCACTAGCCTACCAGGGACGGCAAAATGTTAAACCCTCTAAAATATTAATATCAATATGAAACATACAGTGTAACACTGCAAGATAGTATATGCTAATGACATTATTCCTAGTCCTTGTATTGATTTTATGCTTTGCATCTTTATTTAAAATGTTTACTTAATAGGCTCAATGACTTATACTGTATATAGGTATGTATTACTTATAAAGTGCTGAAATACGCATGAAGAGTTATTCAACTAAACTTTATTTTTATTTATTACTACCAAATTTCTGAGTTATTAAACAGCATTTTTATTTTCTTGTAAAATATGTCAATAAGATTACATGTTTTCTAGATGATACTAAATGAATAAAAACACTGAAGGTTTTCCACTTCCTGTCTAAGCTATCTGATTAGTGCTATGAAAAAGTTACCTACCAGATAGCGAGTTTGGCAGTGAAGATGCAAGTCTTGATCCTGAATTGTGCTCATTGTTGGAAGAAACTAATGTGTTTCTTGAAATCTGAGAGGACCCCTTTAGTCTGGCATCTTCCTGACACTTTCTCTTCTTCAGAATTCCTATCAAGGCAGTTGTGCCTGAGAGTGAATTTTTAACATCCAACTTAGTCTCTAGTTGCTTTTGTTCAGATTCCATTTCTGCTAAAGAAAAGGTGGACATAAGTGGTTTGGCATCAGTGCAAACTCTTGGAATAGAATTACTTGTTGGGATTCCAATGTGGGATAATGTGAAACGATGAACACTGGACAGCTTTGGTGAAGCACCATACTGGAAATGGTTCCGTCTCTTTCCCAGAATTTGAAGTGCCCGCTGGAATTCCTTCTTGTCACGCATCAACTCCCGGAGTAATAATAACGGCGATTTGTTCTTTGTTACAAATCTTTTACCAAGCTTTTTGAGGTGCCCTCGTATGTGATTGGACTGCCCTGTCCTGTTATCAAATGAGTCCCCGCATAAAGGACAAGAGTGAATACTCTTCGCCGACTCAGAATCTGACTCCAGCTGTAATGCTGAGAACAAACAAAAACAAACCAAACATAAAATGAGAAACATAAACAGTGTACAATAAAAGTACATTATGGTAAATTTGAACATTGTAACATTAAAGCACATACAGTATACAGTTTAAACCCTGTTTAAAATTTGGCTTATATTTTCACTGTCCGTTGGTTCTACCAGTCATAAGAACATTAAACTCACAAAATCTCAAAGATCTTAGGTGTGGCTACATAGCACAAAAGTAGTCAAATGGGGCAACATACAGTGATACAGATTGGAAATAAGATAAGAGTTTTCCTACAATAGCTACAGTTTTATTTGGAAGCAGAACCAAAATTGAGTGCATTCATAATGTCTCTCATAATTTTCACAGAATAACCATAACAATGACGAACTCAGAATGTAAACTAATGGGCAGTTTAGTTAATTTTACATTTTGTTCATATCTTTTCATCTAAAAAAAAACTGATTAATCTTTTTGGTTTATTTATAATCTTTCTAATTGCCCAATCCCTTGTCATTAGTTGCCCCAGTGGATTTCTTTTTAGCGATATCACTACATTCCAAGATCTCCAAGATCTTAGCGATGACTCTGGGAAGTTCAAAGCTCAATAAAACTGACAGAACTGATGATCAGAGCCACAAAAATAAAAAGTTAATTGTTATACACCACCATTTTCATTTAACATGACAATATAAAATAAATAGTTATGAACCTTTTTTCAACCTCCGCAATGCTGAAATCTTCCGTCGAATTCGTGGCCTCCTGTCTTGAGAAGCCACTTGCTCAGGAGGCACTACATGACGTGCATTGTAGCTCAGTCCAACTCTATGAAGATGCCCTCGAACATGATTGGACAATCCAACACCTGACTCAAAGGCTGCAGGACAGTACGGACAGTTCTTGCGGTCTGACTCCAGCTCCGACAAATCATCTGTGAAGGATTCTCTGGATGGCATTTGGTGGGATTCAAAATTTTCTTGAAACACCTCTGTTTCTATGCATTCTTCTTTGATTTCAGGATCATGTTGTTCTTGCTCCTCAGTCTTTATTTTCTCAAACATCCTTTTAGATGCGTGCAGAGCACCCCTCATGGACATTCTTCTGCTATAGGTGTAAATAACGTTTTGTTTTTCTTTCTTGACACCATTATCAAAAGTCTTAGTGTTGGGATCTGTATCCTTAAACTGGAAAATGTCTTTTTCATCATCATCATCTGCCACTTCTTCTTGGTTTATTTTCTTGGGACTCGGCAGGTGTTTTGATAAGATGAAGCATGAGTCTTGGTCAGAGGTGTTGCGATATGGGGTGGACATCTTCCGTTTGGATGGTGACTTTTTTACTACTGACTGATCTACATTCAATTTGGAGATGCTGATGCTGTTGAGATCTCCTTCAGCTGCAATGGAGGGCACCCTATGATAATTTGGTGATAAAGCTGAATTGTCAACTTTGACAGTCAACGTTCCTGGTAACTGATCAGAGCCATCTTCGTCATTTTTTGAATCCTGAACAAATGTGCTGCAATTACTACTTTCCTTCTTCTGTTCAGCAGTCTTCTTTCTATGTCTTTGTCGGGACAGGAGAACATTAATAGACTTATCAAGCTTTGATTCCGTTAGTTGAGACTTCAAACCTTTCTTAATCTTGTTATTTTTAAATAAGGCTGAAATGTCACTGGACTCACTAGGTGAACAAGTGCTTCTAGAAGAGATCTGATTTTTTATTGAAATTTTAGATGTAAACTCTGCATCTTCTACAGGACTTTTACAAGCAGACACATGCTGCTCCTTAGATGGCTGTGCATCTTTCTCATTATGCTGTGCAGCTTCATATTCCTCAATGGTTTGTTGATGGCGGCGCAAAAGATGATTCTTAAAAACATTTTTGCTAAAAGCTCTATAAGAACAAATGTTACAGGGGAAGGCTTCAGTCTCATCTTTCTGGATCTGCTTTCTAACTGTAATAACAGTGTGTTGCATTATGTTATGTCTCCTAAGATCATTCTCGCTTATAGTCCTGAAGCTACATTTGTCACATTTAAACTTTCTCTTGTCCTTCTCATGTGTTTTCGCGTGTTGAACAAACGTGTTTGGGCAGTTTGTTCCAAATGGGCACTGAGGGCAGAAAAGCTTCCTGTTTTTATCCTCTTTCTTCTTATTATTCACACCTTTGTTCTCTTCAGTGAGTCTTACTCTCTCCCCCTGATGGATGGACATGTGCTGAATAAGTGAACTACTTTGTCTGAAAGACTGTCCACATTCACGGCATATAAAAGGATTTGGCGAAATATTTGGAGGGTCAACATGAGACTTCATATGGCGATGCAAATGATGTTCTTTCTTGAAAATGAGCTTACATTTTGAGCAAGGGTAAGCTATCTTATCATCTAAATGAGAATTTATTGTAAGCCTTCTCTTCAGTGGTGAAAGCCCATGACTTATACTGTTCTCATGTGAATTTCTTGCAGGTGCATTGTAAAGAATTTCCTTGATGGCCTTTACAGTTCCATTGGGATACTTAGAAGCTTTCTCTGTTGGAGATGCCTGTGACTTGGAGAACTTCCTTGACTTGCGGATTTTTCTGACAGGAATAGAATCTACTGGGCCTTCGGCATCAGACAATTCCTCAGATGACTTGTGGCTCAAATTAGAATAATGGTCTTCTGAGGGATCCACCATCACAACCATGTCCATTTTCCGTTTCCTTCTCCTTTGGCTTTTGGTAGGAGGGACTTCTTCCTTTGGCTCCTCACCAGGGGAATCACTATGGTTCTCCCACAGAAACTGCATAAATTCTTTGTGGGGATCCCAATGAAGGTCACTAGTACTACTAAAATTATCTAAAGAGCTCTCAGGTTGTCAATTTCTTGCACAGTTTTTAGTGGGGTGATGCTCTTTTCCTCCTCCTTCTCTGAGGAAATGCTATTAAGTTCATGGGCCTGTGTAGCTTGATGTGAAGAAGGTCCATTTCCGAGGCCAACTGGAGACAACATATCTGTTTTTGACAGAACATCTAGGACACTGTTTTGTTTCAGAGAAGGCTTGCTGAAAGAATTGGTGCAAGAGGCTGATTCTTGTGCCATGCTCACTGGCTCTTGCAGGAGTGAGAGCGCATTGATCTCAGGATCTGCATCTTTGTCATCTTCATCGACACCTGTTAGGCATGACATTTCAGCTGCCATAACCTGAAAAAGAAAAGCCTTCTTAGACACTTAAAGGACATTTAACTACAAAATCCAAAGTTAACACTGTAACATCCCAAAGGTTAAATTCAAGCCTTTTTTAATTAGGCACAGGGCTTTCTGTCATTGCACAACAACAGATTACTGATCTGGGTTGGGTTCTTGCTTTCAGTTTTCTCTCCATATTCAAAAAAATAAGTATTTTCACAAAAATTTATATCCTCTGTAATATCCTTGTGTCTAATGGATTTCCTGGTTTTGCAGTGTGGCTTAACGTGTTTGTTTAAATCTACTGTGTCAACCAAGGGAACAAGTTGTGGACAAGTATAAATTAAGCATTAGCCTAAACATCAGAGGTGTCCCGACTATAATTTGAAACCACAAGTTTGCAAAGGCAACAACTGACATCTTGGTCCAAACTGGATAAAGGCTTTAAGTGTCTTTAACAATCAATACTCGATTAATCGTTAACCATTTATGAAATACATTTTCCATAATAAAACTATTTTAACTACTTAGGCAATTAACGTTTGCTGTAAAATCTGAGTAAATTGGGAACTTAAAGAACAGCTGAAGTAGCTAAACACAGAGCTACCCAAGATGAAGAGCTTTCAGATATAATGTGGCGCTCATAGCAGGGTTTGTGCACGCAGGGACGTCACACGCGACTGAGCGCAGCGCAGATACATTCTTGTGCCGCACAACACATAGAAATGAATGTGTTTGATTGCGGAGCACAGCGTCCACTGTGTCCTATCTGAAAACGGCTTTCATCATTACAACGACAACAGCGTGAGCAGAGGTGTATGCTATATGATGAAGTACCGGAGAGCACCTATGACGCGCGTGCATGCACACACGCAGTTAAGTTGTTTCGAGGGACATATAAACACTTTAACTACGATGGCAACTGTAACTGCCCACAGGATCAAATGTTGGACTGACTTTATTCTCAGGTATGTGAATAAATAGCTATTTGTCCATGTGTTAAAGTTTGGCCATCCCGTGCTTGGGCCTACAGCTGATCACTCACAGGTAAAAGTCTGTAAATCCCACCATCACTCAAGTTAAATCTAAAAGTCTGTTTCTCCGGCTTATTATTTAATCTGATGTTTGTCTCCATGGCCCCTCCTGTAGATTGCGCTCTAGTTTGTCAGTCTGGACATTTTGAGTTTCGTTATGTCACTGGTCAACAGACCGGACCAGTAAATGGAATCGGTAGTCAACACTAAACTGTGTTGCTGTAAACCATCCACATCATCACGTATATGGCTGAACAAAACGCACAAACACTCACGGGTGCAAAATGTGCACAAGAGCAGGCATTTTTTGATTCGACGTTGTGAATCAATCACCATAGCTTAAATTATATTGTCACATCTTGGAGCGTTCTATTTTACAGGACATACACTTTACTGACGATTGGCTCTTCAAGCTCTCACAATAATGCAGCGTTATTCATTTCAACCTGTAGGCCTATCCTTTATCTTCTCTTGAAGAAAAAAAATGGCGGAGCACAGTTCCAGTGTTTTCCGGCAGCACTACACCTACAAGTTTAAGTACAGAACCTTACACTGCCACTTATTTCTTTCTTTCTTTCTTTCTTTCTAGTATGTGCATTCATTCTATAGTTTGTGCTGCCCATTGGGGCAGTCAGAAAACATGTACATTAAATAGTATGAGGCACCACCTGGCAATGTAACCAGGTACTACAGCAAACTACAGTACAGCAGCGATTAATTGATAATGGATTTATCATTAGCATCCCCAGTACTTGCACATTAATTCTTGTGGGGGGAATGCACACACCTGCAGAGGAGATTGTGCACAGGTTGCCACAGGGGGCATGTTGGGGCTCTTAGGATTAGTAGTACAGAAAATAAGCAGATTGCTGAGCTTTTATTTAACCTGTTTAAAAAGGCAGCCATTCCTCCCAGTGAAAGCTGCTTGTCTGGCATATATTAAAAAAACAAAACAAAAAGTTTTTCTTCTGATTTTGCTTGCGTGTTGTGGGGTACACTGCACACGTGCATTTGGGTTTCCCCTGCTGGCCCCACCTGCACGTGCCCGCTCAGTTCTTAGACATTACAGTGGGATGACATCACAAAAAATAACTTTACTAGGCTCTAATAAAGTCTGTTTGTTGACCACCAGAGTTCAATTAACCTTGTCTATAGACAGTATATTAATACTTTATATACAGTCTGGCCTTGTTTAAATTCTGTCCAGAAAATGTGATATTTCATCTGTTCAGTGCTGGTGTCTTTGTAATCACGCAAATAGACTGTGGACCTGCTCACTCTGCAAGACAGCCTACCAAATTTATGACAGGCCAAAAATCAATGCTATCCGCCAGTGCTAGTCAGCGGCTATCTGGGTGATTAATCTGGTGACAGGACCCTGCTCACACTGCATGTCAAATGACAACTGATCAGGTCAAAATTTGGCCAATTCCAAAATGAGACAGGAGCAACTGAATTGGGGTTAAAATCAGACCAAATTCATACAGTGTCTGCTTGGTTTTACAGATATCTCTTTTACCACTATAGTAAATGGAGAAAATGCTTTTTGGGCCTCAAGGGGGGAATTTTTTTGTTGCAGTACCATGAGTGGCCACTGTAAGAAAATGACTGAAGAGCTGAATGGTGGCATCATATCCAGCTTTCATAATACAGCCACATGCTAGCTATGCAGCCCTAGCAGATTCTTTAGACTCTTAAGAACAGCAAAATAATCCAGAGATTCTTTTTGTCATATAATCACATTTGTAGAGTAGGGTGTAATGAGCACTGCAGTCACTAGGAGCTGTGACTATTGCAAAAAAATAAAAATAAAAATAAATTGGCATGTCTAAAATGCAAACAGGACTGAAACGACTAGTCGTTTCATGGGTTGCAGCTTTTAGTGAGCTGTGGCAAATTTCAGAAGTTGTAACAGTGAGTCTATTCAAGCTTTTACAAGTCCAGTACTGAATGTTAGCAGTGTTTTACAAGCACTTTGCCATTATAGTTTTGCTTATTTGAATGTGTTTGTTTGACTTTACAAGTCGAGTTTAGTGACTTAGAACGTCATAAGAATTAGCTTCTTGAAATAATCAGCATTCACTGACTACAAAATAAATATCTTAATATGTTTAAAAACACTTGACACTTTGCTTAGATGATTAATTGTAGCCATTTACAACGCTACAAGGTCGCAGGAGTGAGATCTTGGATTTGAAGGGCAATAAAGTATCATAGCAAGTGGCAGAGAAATGTGTCTGTAACATATACAGAGCAGCACCGAAACTGCAAACGGATGAACGTAGTAAATGGCTTTTGATGCGCGGTTGTAGATTTTATATAGAGCTAAAACTTTAAACACAGTAGTTCAGTTATATGCCAACCCACAATAGTTGTGATGATATGTTTCCAAAGGTACCCACTTTCGGGGCAAACCTGATTATTCACACTATGTTCCGTAAGGGTATCACTGCATTTCTTTGACGTTTATAGCACGCTGTTGGATGCTGCTTGCAGGAGCTGCAGACCATTCCATTAAGGCTGTTCCATACCAAAACCTCTTCCTCAGGGTAAACTGTAGCTAATGACGATCGTTTCTCGCTGCTCACAACACAGACATTAATAAAATGGCGACAACAAACAAACGTTACCTCCAAGCGGCGTGGATGGAGACAGGGAACAATTTATAAGCTGCATTCAATAATTTCCTACTTTCGTCTTCCATCTATTTCACAGTCGCCATTTTCCGTGGTGGTCTGGTGTGGGGCAGATCATTTCTTTTTAAGGGTTACCGTGCATACAATTTGCTTTGCATTAAATGAACAAACAAGTGCTCTAATAATTACTTTTGATTATGCAACAGCTTTTAAATAAAAGTCAGATATAGTTAAGAAGCTACTGAAGTTAATGTCTCATATTAATTCGGCAAGCAATTCAGGAGTCAGCGCCGTGAACCCCCGAACAGTTTGTAATGGATCAGTCCACATAGGAGGCATGAAAAAACCAGAGTTAATGACCATCTCTGTTGGGGTAGAAGATTTTTTTTTTATGTCGGTGGCGGTAAATCATCGTCTAATTGAAAAAAAGACAAATCGGAAGTTCACTTGCTATTTGGTTTGGTTGTGTAAACAGCACATTTGGTTTTGCTGTTTAAAATTGTCACGGAAGCACAGACGTGAATTTTATGCATGTTACCACTCCCCCCCCTCATGGTTGGCTTCTCATAGGTCTTTGTTGCTTTCGTAGCCGGTGATTAGCTGGTTCGGTTGTTCCTTGTCTCTTGTGTTTTCAGAAGAAACGCGTTGTTTGAGCGCCCAATTTAAACATGAAATTAACTCCACAGTAAATACCCGAATCATCTGGTATGGATGTTTTACTCTAAATGTAATAAAATTTGTATATAAATTGTATTACTAAGATTTTAAATTGGCGTTAATAATTCTAGCCACAGCTAACGCTTGATAAGTGCTAATAAACATGTTACTGTCTGATTCATACTCTTGTAGTGGTAGGTGATAATTAAATGAGGTTGCTCTGATCTGAGTAGCGGTTAAACGTAACATCTGGAGTAAATATATTCTTTATTACAGGTGGGTACAGCGAGACCTTAATACATATAACTTAAAAATGTACTTATGCTAACTGATAATCATTGGATAAAGTGTCAAACCATACTTGAATGTTGCTAACGTTAACGTTAGCTATCTCTCCCGCCTGAACTAGCAAATCCCGGTTACCTTCACTGTTTCAGCTCGAAAAAAAGAAAAAAAAATTAATATAACATTATCTGTGTTCAGGGGTGACCTGTTTTTAATATTCACTTTTAATAGATATTTGTGTATTAAATGCTTAAGGGTGATCAGAAGGGTCATTGCTAACTAAGCTATATGAAAACCTTATAGGTCCGTTTCTGTGTCCAGTAACGTAATATAGCAAACTATGTAGCAAACTACTTTAATACTTTACATAGTTTGAATATATACACTAACTAAATAAGTTAGCTGCATGCTTAATTTTTGCGTCAGAGGAAATGTCATGATGAAAGAACATGGCAGTTAAACTAGCTTCCATGTTAGCCTCATTGCCACAGACCAATACAAATCCACAAAGAACCCTCCAAGCTTGCAGCAGCAATTGTTTTTCATTACATTCAGCCACAAAAACATAGTAATACAAATATAGTTTTGTTTAGTGTTTGCATTCACAAGTATCTCTGATTTGTTTGTTTGTTTGTTTTTTTCAAGACAGATGTCATCAGCCAAGCTCCATAGTGACTGATTGACATCACACCACAGTTCAGTTATTTAAATGTGTGTGCACTTGCTGTACATGATCTGATGGGATGTCGGATTCCAGTGACTGTACCTTATCCTTGGACAATCTGTTTTTTGAGAAACCCATCATCCACAAAGTGTGAGTACAACGAGATACACCACTCTTCTCTCTTTTTCCTCTCTCAGCTGAATCAGTGTTTTCTTTTCTCTAAATTGTATTTGACAGAAAGCCATTGCACCAGGAGGCCAGTCCATGGCAGCTGGAAGTGCCTCCGTCTTTTTCGCAGATTCCAGCCACTCAGGATATGCAGGAGGAGGCAGAGTCTTTCTCCACTCTATACAGTATGTTGTGCTCTGGATTAGGGTGAATTCCTTTTCGGATGACTTGAGTAAAATGCTCAGTAGTTGGCCTGTTGTTGCCCCATTAAATTTAACTGTGACTCACTGAGATAATAGCTTAAATTGGCTTGAAAGTTTTCCAGATTTTCTTTTTGATATCCAGATTTTTTTTTTTGACATGCATAAACAACACAGGGTTAACATCTGGGGCTTATGATATTTTCTCATAATCATCAGTATGACTGGAATGGAACATTTTTGCTGTAAATTCTTTTCATCTTATCATTGTCAAATCATTCTGAAGGTCATGCCCATAAAAAACACCAGATTACAGCTACCAACAAATTGGTTTGATGAAACTCTCTTCCTTTTTTGTATTACCGATAGATTTCTCACAGAAACCCATTAAGTTCCTGCCTCCTTTTAAAGGATCATTGATAAGTTTTATCAATGGTGAGAAAAAGATTGAGGAGACTCAGGGTGGCTGCAATAGCATCAGCCAATGTGATGGCCTTTGGGAAGGTGAAGAGTTCAGGGATTACTCTCATGGTACCAGTCAGAGTGGAAGAGGTGGAGATGAAACTCCACAGGTCTCTGGTCACGTGTCCATGAGCAGGAGGTATTCATCTTTGGACTGCAGCAGAAGCCCACCTCTACGGAGAAGGCAAGTGTCAAGATGGGATTTACATGGCTGTCAATTAAAGAGTGTGTACGCATTGTTTTCAGACACTCTCCTTATAGTGCAAACAGTATTTTTGAAAGATGAAAACTGCCTAATGATATGTCGCTTTAAGTACAAAATATAAAACTTTAAGGCCATAAAAAGCAGGTTAACAAAGTTTTTTTTTCTTTGGAGGTGGTGCAGAACATCATTTTAAAAAAGCTTTATTTTTTTTATTAGCAGGATTAATGTTACTATATTCACTGTTCAAAAATGTTGTGCTGTGCTGATTCACTCTTAAGTAATAATGGTTTCATTCTACCTTCATCTTTCCATATGCTCTCCTCCCTCCCACAATAGCCTCTTCAAGGCTCAGGTGTTGAACAGTGGAGGTGACTCGACAAACACAGATGACCTTAGCAGCAGCAGCAAACAGACAGCATCTAGACCCCAAACTTTTCTCAGTCAGGTTACCATGGCGACAGCGCCTCTTCCTCTTAAGCCGCCACGGGCAACAGTTAGCCAGGCAACTCCTCCTATCCCCCAACAGCCCCCCTTGCCACCCCCTCCACTGGGCTCATCTGCAGCGAGTGGCCAACCCCCGCAGCAGGCGCCACACACAGAGAAGCAGGACAAGGGCACAAAGAGAGCCTTCGTTCCACCCATGACACCTCAGCCTCTCCGCATACAAGGTGCTGCAGTGTACTGGCATAGACAGGCGCTGTTCTCACAGTCTATGATTCGTTTACCAAATATTACTTATATGCAGTAGAACTGTTGCAGCTAATGGGTAAGACCATGTCTAGCCATGGCAGCAGCTGCCACAGTGCGTTTGGGTATGATGAGGTAGAACAAGTTGAGCTCCCCCCATTGACCACTCCATTGTAATGAAGCATTCTGGTCACTAGATGGTGGATAAAAGAACAATAGAAGCAGTAGTCATTCATCCATCCATTGTCTATGCTGCTTATTCCAGAATCTAGAGCCTAACCCAGCTGACATTGGGTGAGAGACAGGGTACATCCTGGACAGGTCACCAGTTTATTACAGGGTGCAACAGTCATTGTAGAAAATCAATTCCTCAGTATACCTAAAGTATGCTAAGAGTTTCATAACATAAAATTGACATGGGATCAGTGACAGCGTGACTGAAAATGAAAGGCTGATATGTTTGGATTATGCACATTTCAGGTTCGTCTGGGTCTGAACTGTTGCGACCTGTTTCTGAAATTCGTATCCTTTTTGTTGTTGTGTAAGTTAATACAATATAAAATTGTTAGTGTTTGAAGTGTGCTAGTATGTTTGGAATGTAGTTTCACAACAGATGTGGTTTGATTTCCTGAACCATGCTAAAACAGCAGCCAAGTTCAGAACGGTCTTCAGTGAGTTCCCCTTTTTCAACTGTGTTCAGTCCAAAGCATTAGATGATGTAAGCATTTTTTGAAAAGATTTATTAAAAAAACAATGATGAGTACTATGAATAGGAGTCACTGACTAGTTAAAATGTATTAGAAGTGAACTGCGACTGGGAGTAACATGGAGTGTTTTTATGCTTGGTTTGTTCACAGGTTCTTTATACGGGTAAGAATTTTGTGGCATGCGCACCTACTGGATCAGGTAAAACTGTGTTGTTTGAGCTGGCCATCATTCGCCTGCTAATGGAGACCTCAGAGCCCTGGAGAGATGTCAAGGCAGTCTATAGTGAGCATAATCTTTTATGGACCCTTGTAAAATGCTATTAAAGATTCAGTCTGAGTAGATTCTAAAATCTAGAGTCTTTAGTAGACTCTAAATTATTTATTTTCACAAAATATATGGCTTTACATTTGAAAAGTTTTCCAGTATCCATATTGGGGAATGATTCCTACCCAGAAAATTTAGAAAGCTTCCTGAAACTGAGCATCTTGTTAAATTTAGTTCCCTATTTATACTCTTTATCAATACAAAGAAAGCTTGTACTGTTAAATATTGTTAGCTCTTGTACTGAAAACTCCAGGGATGTGAATGGAATTCTGTACACAATAAAACCATAAATATACACAATAAAGACAAGGCTACATGGTTTTGACATAATACACCTTACTGTAATTACAGGCTGATTTGCTCATGTGTATAATTTTTTATTTAGTTACAGATTTAGGGTATCTCTGAGGTAAAAAGGCTGTCTTGTAAAAAGTTTTCCTGTTTGTCTTGCCAGTGGCCCCTATCAAAGCTCTCTGCAGTCAGTGCTTTGAGAACTGGAAGAAGAAGTTTGGTCCTCTGGGCCTGAGCTGTAAGGAGCTGACTGGCGACACGGAGATCGATGACTTCTTTGAGATTCAGGACTCGCATATTATCCTGACCACACCGGTGTGTGTGACATTAAAGTGCATCTCAGTTAGACAACAACTGAACAAGAGGAAAGATTAGAACCAAAATAATAAAAATATGATTTGAAATTTTGATAATGTTGTATTTATCTTTCTTCCAGGAAAAATGGGACAGCATGACAAGAAAATGGAAGGATAACTGTCTGCTGCAGCTAGTTAGACTTTTCCTTATCGATGAGGTCAGCGTGTTCGCCAGATATTTTGTACCTGGGTCCACTTTTTAGTTACCCCACAGTGTACACATGTGCCAGAGGATGTACGGTCTACATTGTGTTTTATTAGGTTATTATTTATTACTACTCATGTTAGTAATTACAATGATAAAGGACATCTTAGTTTTATCCAGCCAGAGGTGGAAAGCAACTAAGTACATTTAGTCAAGTACTGTACATAAGTACAATTTTGAGGTATCTGTACTTTACTTGAGTATTTTTTATTTTCTGCTACTTTCTAGTTTGACTTCTCTACATTTTTGTGGCAAATATTGTACTTCATCTCCATTACATGTATTTGATAACTTTAGTTAGTAATTCAAATTATACACATATAAGGTAGCTAAAATTACCTTCGCTTTTACCAGCTGTAACATTAATGTGCACAATAATGCATCAATAATTATAATCCACTAATATGATATAGGCATGCATTAATGTGAAATGTGGCATTCCGCATTATGAGTACTTTTACTTTTGCTGCCTCAAACATGTTTTGTTGCTAATACTTTACTTTCACATAAGTAACATTTTGAATGCAGGACTTTTACTTGTAACAAAGAATTTTTATATTGTGGTATCTCTACTTTTTACTTTAAGTAAACAATCTGAATACTTCTTCCACCACTGACACCAGCATATTTGATGAACCTTTGAGATGTTTTTGAAACCAACTGTAAGATGAAACATTTTGGTCTTCCAGGTGCATGTGGTGAAAGATGCAACCCGTGGTGCCACTTTGGAAGTGGTGGTGAGCAGGATGAAGGCAGTGCACGCCTACAGGACAGCACAGAATCCAAAGGCAGGCCCCTCTATGAGGTTTGTGGCTGTATCCGCCACCATACCCAACATCTCTGATGTAAGTCAGTCACTATTTTGCTCTTTACCTGTTTGTGCTGTCTCTAGTTCAGTAGGTTAAACTGTCTGTCTCTTACTAGATTTCAGAGTGGCTGTCTAATGACAGTGGTCCTGCCACATGTCTGGAAATGGATGAGACTCACCGTCCAGTAAAGCTCAGGAAGGTAGTGCTGGGATTCCCCTGCAGCTCAAACCAAACAGAGTTTAAGTTTGACTTGTCACTCAACTACAAGATGGCCAACATTATACAGACTTATTCTGACCAGAAGCCTGCTCTAGTGGTGAGTGAATTATGTGCAAACTGTGTATACATTTATGTACATGTGTTTGCTTTCTTTTTAAATGTGTAACATCATAGACTGATGATGATTGTTGGATTAAATTGGCTCAGAATCTGAGAATTGTTGTCTTTTTTCTGTAGTTCTGCTCTACAAGGAAAGGAGCCCAGCAATCAGCTGCAGTTCTTGCCAAGGATGCTAGGTTCATCATGAGCATAGAACACAAGCAAAGGTGTGTTACCTTCATGATTAGTGTTCATCAACGGATTTTGTTAGAGTCACTTTAACTTGAACCGACACTGAACTGCTTGTCCTTGGCAGGTTGATAAAATATGCTAATTCTATTCTGGATTCAAAACTGAGAGGTAAGTCCTTTGGACAACTCCTGCAACACATTAACCTACAGATTATGGAAGGTTTTTACATGCTAGCTCACAATAGACATAAAGCAAAGTTTTTTCTTTTTTCATATACACTGACCAGAATGAATACAATACACAGTCTACCATGGCACCCATTGTTGAAACTCACCAGGCACATTCATTGGAACATGTTTTAGTCCAAGCCCAGTGCAAAAGCAGATATTAATTCAATTCTGGCTATAATTATCAACTGTATGACATAACTTGTGTTTGTGGTCCAGATCTGGTGATGTTAGGAGTTGGTTACCACCATGCAGGAGTTGACTTGTCTGATAGGAAGTTGATAGAGGAGGCCTTCACTCTAGGAGACCTGCCTGTCCTTTGTGAGTTTTTGTCTCTATTACAGTTTTACTCTGTGCTGGATATTTACTGTAAATGGGTATGCAACTATATACATTTGCAAAACAATCCTATGTGTGACAGGTTACAACAACTGATCCATGTAGTATTTTAGACATATTGTATTGAGGTAAGATCTCAGGCCAAGCTGTGCATCCACAGAGATGTCAAAATTAACATTTCAACAATAAAGATGATATTGCACTAACACTGATACTGCTTTTTAAAGCTAAAGGTTTCTGATATCTTAGTCACTACTAGGACTTTGGCCATGGGGGTGAATCTGCCAGCTCATTTGGTGGTGATCAAGTCCACCATGCAGTATGTAGCAGGCTCCTGTGAAGAGTACGGTGAGGCTGACCTGCTGCAGATGATAGGTCGAGCTGGAAGACCGCAGGTAATGGCAGAATAAGGGTTCATGTTCTTACCTCCCTTCACACATGGAGGTGAGGTTTGGTAACCAATCACAACACAAGCAACAGAGTTTCGCATTGTTTCACTGGGACTTACCACTTTGACACAAGGTACATTTGTCTGCCTTGGTTTTTGAAAGTTTACACTAACTTGCAGGTCTCTGAAGGTATTAAGGAAAAAGCATTTGTTTAAATGCACTACGTGAAACAAGAAAGATAGTGACAGCTAGTTTTAGTAGGATGCACAAACTAAAAAGCAGCTTCTGTCTTTTCTTCATCTAGTTTGACACATCAGCAACTGCAGTGATCATGACCAAGATCCAAACCAAAGACAAGTACATGAAACTTATGAATGGGATGGAAATCATTGAGAGCAGGTAATACAGCTTCTTCTTCTTCTCTCTCTCTCCCTCAGTTTGCCTTTTCTTTGCTCTCACAGAGGAGAAAAATCATGCAGCAGTACATGAGGTAACAGTACACCCTGTTTCTCTAGCTTACACAGCCATCTGGTGGAACACCTGAATGCTGAGATTGTTCTCCAAACCATCAGCAATGTCAACATGGCTCTGGACTGGATACGCTCCACCTTCCTCTACATCAGAGCCCTCAAAAACCCCAAACACTATGGTCAGAGCTCACAGCACCAATGCCTATAAAATGATCCAGGTCCAAATTAGTGTCCACCCTGGTTGCCGTTGCTGTATATAAAACCAGTCAGTGCAGTGTACCTCAACTCCCATTTCAGGTTTCTCTGCCGACTTAGACAGATATGGAATCGAAGCTAAATTGCAAGGTAGGCCACAACAGATTTTGCTTTTATCTGCAGTCTGTGAAGCAGCATGTTGAATCTTCCATGCTATGTGGAGGATATTCCGTTAGTGAAGCCACTGATCATGCATGTTGTGCTACTCGCTGAACTTTTGACTTATTAACTGTGAACACTACTTATGCTATTCTGACATTATTCTCCTCTCCTGTTTAGAACTGTGTCTGAAGAACCTCAACTCTCTGTCTTCCATTGGCCTGATCGACATGGATGAGGACATTAACATCAAACCAACAGGTGGAGTGGTAGTTAGTTTACATTTTTGGGGAACATTCCTCCTCTTTGGTTTATTTTATTGCAGTTCATTCTTGCTCCTCACAGAGGCTGGCAGGTTGATGGCGAGGTACTGTGTCGCTTTTGACACCATGAAACAGTTCAGCAAAGTCGCTGGCACTGAGAACCTCTCTGATCTGGTGAGTGTCCTGATAAGAGTGCACACTATGAATGTCTCGTATTTGACAAACATGTAGATGACATTTTGTGGTGTTGTTATAATGAACTGAAACAGTTTTAGTATTTAGTAGTATTTAGATCACAAATGTCTGAATATACAGACTGAGCTGCTGTCAAAGAGCATAGAGTTCAGCGACATTCAATTGAGAATGAATGAGAAGAGGTCCTTGAACACTTTGAACAAGGACAAGAACAGGATCACCATCAGGTGAGAAACATTTATAGGATAGACAATTGCATACACAGTATAATAACCTCAGTTTACTGGGTCCTTGCTTGCCATCTTATTTTAACTTTTGATAGTTGGGATTGCATAACACTACACGTAGACACAAGCCTTTTTAAAATAGAATTGTATGTGTTTTTCCAGGTTTCCCATAGAAGGAAGGGTCAAAACCAGTGAGATGAAAGTCAACTGGTAGGTTTGCACCATAACATTATGACCACCTGCCTCATACACAGGAGTTAATGTAGTGGTTGGTTGGCAGTTGTGTCACTCTGACCTCAGGTTGACCTCATCATCAGTGAGCCCTGGACATTGGTTCACTGTTTGTCAAAGTCAGATCCTTATACTTGCCTGTTTTTGCTGCTTCCAACACGTCAACCTCAACGACTGAATGTTCATTTGCTGCCTAATACACCCCACACACAGGTTCCACTGTAACAAGATAATCATTGTTATTCACTTCACCTGTCAGTGGCCATACGTAATATTTTGGATGATCTGTGTATTTATTCTGTGGGTTCCCTGTGGAAAAGTGGTGTTGAATTTAAAAAAAAGAAACATTAGTTTATGATTTTTTGCAGAAATACACATGGATTTCCTTTGGACCATCCACTACATAATCATGTCTTCATTGCCTTGTCTTTAGCTTGATTCAGGCTCAGTTGGGGTCCATCTCTATTCAAGAGTTTGGACTTATACAAGACACAGCAAAGATCTTCAGGAACGGCATGCGCATCAGCAGGTGTATGTACATGTATGGTAAAACAGGGACAACAAATGAACAAAGTGTTCTCTGAATATATTTTTCATTTGATTGTATTTTGATCCCAATCAGGTCTGTCAGAGTTTCTTAGTCAGCGATCCAAGACAGGTTTCTCTGCTCTGCTCAACTCCCTGATCCTGGCAAAGTGCTTCAGAGCAAAGCTTTGGGAGAACTCACCCTATGTTTCCAAACAGCTGGAGAAGATAGGTAGATACATGTGTTACACAGTGCATATTAGAGGCTTTTATCTAAGCAGTGTAAATCTAGATTTAGTGCCTTTTATCCACATACTGGTATATTTTTAAATAGAAAATAATTGATTATTAAACCAGACATTTTCTCAATTAGATGCATTTCTAATCATTTAATAACAGCACGTTGTGTGTTTCAGGCCAGACCCTGTCAACTGCCATGGTGAACGCTGGACTCACCACTTTCAGCAAAATAGAACAAACCAATGCCAGAGAGCTTGAGCTGGTCAGTCTGTGATATTTAAAAAGAAAGCACTTTTTAATATTCTGGAATTCTGGAGCATTTCATTTAATTATTCTTTGGGCCATTAAAAATGTGTGGCAGAGGAGACAGCAGCAGGGTCTGATGTTTGGCTGATGATACATGACTTTTGCTCATTTTGTTTGTCAGAAGGTCTCCTTCCATCACAAATGATTTATCATTTCAATATCATGCAATGTTTATGTTCAATTTTCGAAAAATTCAATCCAGTGAATTCTGACCTCACCATATAGCTCAACAATAGTAGATGGTTTGAATTCACATAATTAATATTATGTTAAGGACTGCCTGAGTATCCCATGTTGATACCTACTGTACCTGCAAAAACAGGTGACAAGGTGTAAATGATTAAGTGTATAAAAAAATGGATATTTCTTTTATCCAGATTCTCAACAGACATCCACCTTTTGGAAACCAAATCAGAGAATCTGTCATTCACCTCCCGAAGTATGATGTTACTTTGGAGCAGGTAAAAGATGCTGCAGAATTGTACTAGCAAAGGGAGAAGCACATTTTATTAGCCATGTAATAGAGCCTTTCACCTTTTGTTGGTCAGATTTTTAAGATGTTATTCTGTGTGAGGTTTCACTGGGCAGCTCTGTTATTCTTCTTTGACTCTTATAAGTTATATTTTGCAGCTTCCGAGGTATAGCTGTGCTACTGCGGAGATCATGGTAAAGGTGCAGCTAAAAAACCAAGCCCAGCTGCTGTCCAGGAGAACAGCTCCAGACAACCACTACATCTCTCTGATCATCGGAGACTCTGACAACAATGTGGTGTTCTTGCAGAAACTCACGTGAGGAAAAACTGTTGGTGCCCCTGGCTCTCACCAACGTTGTGTCGTCTTTGCTTTTTTTCACTTTCCCTCACTTTATAATTCTGTCGTTAAAACAATGAAATCACACCAAGACCTTTCTCCGTTGTATAAAAGGAGAAAGAATCTGGTTGAATGATTTCAGCAGGCATCCTCTAGTTTGTTTTCTAGGGACTTGGTGCTGTTGAAATGTGGTAGCTGGTCGAAGAAAATTGAGGTGGCAAAGCCCTTGAAGGGAGAGGTGATCAGTGTGAATCTCATCAGCTCACACTATGGTAAACCATGGAAATATATTTGCCTTTAGCATAGAGATGTGTTCAAACTATCTACAGACATCTTTGTCTATCACATACAGTAGGTTGTTTATATAGAAAAACTAACTGTGGCATCAGAATTTGGAAATCAAACCACCGATTTTGGAGTTGTTACACTTCTATCATGTATACCTGTCTACATTTGTGGAGCTACCTATCACTTTTATGTAAGCAGTACAGGTACATTCACAATTCTCAGTGCTTTTTCCGCTCTTACAGTGGGCTTTGACATCCAGCAGAAGTTCAATGTGTACTACTCTGGGGCCAGGAGGTTTGATACTGATAATTCATACAACACAACATATAATCCTACTGGACAGAGACCCTGGCACTCTGCATTGAAACCACAGTCTACAGATCAGGCTTCACCTCAGAGAGAAAATGTCCCACCTGCTACAAACCATGGTACTGCACTGTAGTTTTGGCACAGATTTCCATGATATAAATATGAAATAATTCCTGTTTACGCAGTACCTCCTCAAAGGCAGATTGATATTAAAATGTTTTTCCCCTGTTTTCAAACATACTATCAGATTTAGGCAGTAAAAGACAGTGCAACCATTTCTGCAAGAACAAGGAACGCTGTGGCCACGACTGCTGTGAGTACTGTCACACGACTTTTGCTGTGTGCATTTATGCATCTACCTGTGCATTACTTTGTCTGCTTCTCTAGACTGTAGAGGTCCTCTTCCCCTGGCCTGTAATTCAAAGTGTAAATGTGTCTATCTCCAAGGTAAAGTAGGTGTAACTGTAGCACGGAAGAGGTCAGCAAATCAAGAATCCAGTTTCTCTTCCTATTTGAACGACCTGAGGAGCAGGTGTGACACACTCACACAGACTCCTGTCAAACGACTCAAGGTGAGGAAGTCTGGACCCTGTCCATGCCTGCATCATGCACCAGTGTGTCACAAATAAATGTGTAGTTGTCTCTACTACAAAACATAAACCAGGCATAGAATGCAAAGTGCAATTATGCAAGAGATTTTATCCTCTCAAAAACACTTCATGTTAAATCTGCAGAAGAAGTCGATGAGTCACTGCCAACTCACCATTGGAATTACAAATGCAGTCTTTGAGATCATTTTATTTTGACAGAGAAGTGTTCTTTTTAAAATTTGCTTCATAAAGATAAAAACTTTCTGCGTTACCAAGTCAAAAGAAGTGTGTGTTTGGTGTTCTGTTTTATTTCCTTAGATAAAAATGAGTGAGGAGTCTGTGACTGTCAACATGCAGGAGTTTGCCTACAAACCCAAAGAGAGGCTACCTACTGTTTCCTGGTATTCACAGTTACACAAGAAGTTTTGATGCAGAAATTAGAACTCGTCCCTTAACAACTGCTGCAAATTAGAGTCTTAAAAAAAATGTTTAGTGTTTTATTTGTTTTATGTTGCTTGTCTTGACCAGGGAGGGCACTCTTGTAAAGGAGATTTTTAATCTCAAATGAGGTTTTCCTGGCAAAATAAAGGTTAAATAAAAAATAAAAATGGCAATACAATGTGGTAAACTACATTTGTTTTCAATTAAATCTGACAAGCTGATGCTTGTTTATTGTCATGTTTGTTATGTTTGATCTGAAGGTGTGGGGCAAATCATTATGAAGCTTCAGTGAGACATCAAACTGAAACTGTGGATCTGACAGGCGAGGACTGTGCTCAGCTGTCAGACATAGTTCATCTGGACGACTTTGAGAGTGGTAAGCACATGACATGAAGAAGATGATTCTGAACTGCATGCATTTCCCATCATTCTAGAGTATAATCATATTGACTATGTATTCTCTGTCATTCTTATTCTTTTTTTTTCTTCTTTTTTTTAGATTATAATGACTATGTTGAGGACAAGCAAAGGAGGGTGGAGGAACCTGTCCAAACATCCGCTGCCACTCCTGATCAACGTCAACAAAGTATCGTCAAACAACTTAACTCAAACTAATTAGCAGACAGCCCATACTGGTGGTTTGCCATGTTTTATCTTGTGTACTTCACATTCTGTCAGTTATTTGTCAGTGTGTTCTGTGTGGAATTAGATTTCCAAGCAACTGTTATCTATTCATTTCAGTAAACTACCAGAAAATCATCTTTGAATTTCCATGTACAGCACAGTACAATCTATTAATAAGCATCAATAGATATGGTAACACACACATTCAAAAAATCTTACAGCATGTTGTGGAAAATACTCAATACTTGACTTTAGGGTCAAGATGATAAATGGAAGTTAATTTGCTTTTATTCCTTTTATTGTCACAATAACTCATAATTAACCCTGGTTCCTCACGCTGAATTGGACACAGGTTCCTCAGTCTGGATGGATCCAAGATTTAGTCAGAGCCCTAAACAGCATCTAAATGAGAATGATACAACCAACTCAGCGTACTCTAAGAGGTCCACTGTGGCATCAAACCAGGGCGCTCACTGTGAAATTGCTCCATCTTCACAAATACCAACAGTCAGCTTTGACCTTGGAAATGACTGGGATGATTGGGATGACTTTGATGATGATGAAAAGTTGGTGCATGCCAGCGACACATCGTTTGCCACGTGTATAGCTAATGCTAAACCTCAAATTCAGCAGTCTCTTCAGTGTAACACCCCAGGTAAAGTGACGTTTCTTTCAGTTTGCAAGCCAAGTTTAGTATGAGTGTATGGGCTGTTAGGTTTTCATACATCTGGTTATAATTAGACAGTCATGTTTGACTCAGATTTGCATACCCTACAAGCCTCATTACTGTATGTGGGATCATGACTCTATTGTCATGATTTTGATAAGCATTCAGTGCATACATTTCTGTGTAGGCTTGGCTGCTACAGCAGCACCAGTACTCCTCGGCCTCTCACAAGTCAAACCGTTAATGACCACTGCCAGGACACCTTTGAGGTAAGGCCAGAAAATTAAGCTAATTTTACCCATAATTAAGGTAAATTATTTGTGTCAAATACCAGGATTCAGATTACATATGAAAAAAAGTATAGAATGTGTAAAATCAACCCAGAGTCATTCACTGTGGTTTCATATGATAGTTAAGACTATAAAAACATTTGCAGTATTTTTGTGTTTCATGTCAATTTCACCAACGTTAAGTCCTGAAATCAGAAATGCCAGACTCTCGCTGGCCACAGTCAGAACACAGAACAGAATCACACTTGACTGGAATAAAAAGGTATGTGCATGTGCATGTGGGTGAAAAGATCTGTATGTGCTACTTTTGTAGTTCAGTGGCTATGTTTACATACATTGAGAACACTACTGTTAACAGTTTCTCACGTAGACTTGTTTTTTAGTTATAGAACCCAGTAAATCTCATACTGTGTTTGTGAGACACAATAGAATTGCCTGACTTACAAACTATGCTCATATTGTTTTCAACAAATAATGTTTTAAACTCTGTGGCTTGCAGCTGTATGGATACATTTAGGTGTCAACAAAACATGGCAGATGTTACTGTTAGTGTTGCTCTGTTGCTTTTCACTGTGAATGGGAGTATTCCATTATTAAGCTTAATGAAAGGTGCCTGTAAACAGTTTAACCTTTGTAAAATCTGATGTACGGTCAGTGGCTGACCTCCAGAAGCCTGGCACACAGGACATTTGCCTCTCTCTCTCTCTCTCTCCTTGTGCAGAAACCTAACATCTTAAGTGAGGAGATCACAGTAAAAGCACCAGAAAATCTCCCGACACAGACTCATGTGGCCCCAGCGACCACAAGGTTTGATTTTTTCTCAGTGATAAGCGGCACAAGTAATGGCAGCTCATGTGTCAACACCAGGTACAGTAAAATACAAGGCTTTTATTTTGACTTATTACAATATTTTCCCTCAGTAAATAATGAACACAAGTCTATATTAAATACACTTTTCCTAAAGTATACATCACCTGATAAATGGCTCTTTTTACATACTCTATATTCAGCAACAACAGCAAAGAGGAGGAAGCTTTCCTTGGGATATTTGATGGTATATTTTAGAAGTAGTGCCTGTCTAACTTACATTAATATGCCATTAATGTAATGAATTTGCTTTATGCTTGTGTTCATGTTACTTTAATCTATGAACATTACATCTGGAGTTGTAGGCTGTTTTAAAGTCATATTGTCATACAGGACATTCATATTGTTCATAAAACTGTTTGTTTCTAACATTTGTTCTAGTTGTTAGTATTTAAGTAATAAAGCTTGTCTTCATTGGATGATACCGCATAGTCTTAAGAAATAACTTGTCAACCTGTAAATGTTTCTAGCAAAGAGTTAACAAAACTGCTGAGAGCAGTTTTTACTGAGCAGTAGAGCTCAGAGGAGGGACAAAGTTGACCTGACTGCTACATGGCATCATGTTTTTTGATTAATAGTGATTGGTTGACACATCATATTCTTATTCATCAATATGTAGGAGCATTAAAAGGACTGAATTATAATGTATTAAAATATGTCATTAAAAATTTAACGTTACAATTTAAATTAAATATTACATTTATTAACACATTAATTGATTGAATTACATAGAAATATCAATTACATTTATTAAATTAAACAGATATAATTTAATATTTACTTTACTTGGTATTAAATGGTATTAAAAATACACCTATTTATCTGGTTTGATTCTTATTAACTTACTCACCCGCAAAATATGACCTGATGCTTTGAGGCACATTACCTGCATATTTATCTTGTGAGCTGTGACTTTTAGACTTTGAGGATGTGTTGTGAATAAGGTGGCAGATGATTTTAGGTTCAGTAGCCTATATATTGATCAAAGACAAACAAGTAGTGTGTGCACTTTTGTTCCTGCCTAGCTCTTGGTTGTATGGATATTTTATGACTTTTATTCAAAGTCCCTATTTCCTGTGTTGTGTCAAGAGGTGTGTCGAAATCTGTGCCCCGTGGAGATGTGTTTCCACTAACCTGAACCTAACCATAACCTTTTTTTTAATATACAGCCAATGACCATAACTACCGAGGAGGGGTGCTACTGCAAACACAGTTGTAAAAGGGATAAACAGGTTTCTACATTATGCAGAAGACGTGTAGAAGATCGCTGGATACCATGTGATCTGTAGTGTAGTAACGCGAGACGTTGCGTCAGTTTTAGCGCGGAGTTTGTCGTTGGCGGAAAAGCTTCATTTTGCTCAAAAAGTGAACATTATTTTATTGAACAGCAGCTTGAGTGAGTTATGTGCAGTGTTGCACTGATGGAGGAGTAACCCATGACAACATGGGGTTTTATAGCATGCTCGTTTGAGAAATTATTCCACTTTACGACCAGCTAAAGCGGTGAGTTTGTTTTTTGTTTGACACAACAAGCTGTCGTTAGTTAGCTTGACAAAGTTTAGCTAGTAGTGTGTATTTTGTAATGAAGACGATAAACAGCGCGTAGATTAATATTAGCCATAAGTTTGTCATTTCCATCTTTCAGATCTACCAGACATTTGCTAGTAGCTACCAATTTGATGAAGTAAACTCACTTTTCCATACATTGTCTAACTTGATGTTAACTATTAACTACTTCCTAAAGTCATATTGGCAGTAACGTTGTAGCGTTAATTCAATCAAATGTGATAAGATTAACCATTAAAATGTTTGTTACTAACATTTCCAGCCCCATTTAGAGGTTCTTACTTTGTTCCTTTGTCTTTCAGATGGAGCTGTCTTCTGTCTGCACAGAAAGCATCAGCAAAGACGGATGTATTATGAAGTCTGACAGAGGTCATCGGAAAAGCAAAATCTCAAGTGAGTTTGACATGGCTTGAAGACAGCTTTTAATCATACCTCATTGTACTAGCATTTTTATTTTGAAGAAGCCATATGTGGATTTTGGCTGACTTGTGTAAATGT